TGCACATAGAGATAAATAACTAAATTGCTAAAAACATTAACAAGCATCAATAAATAAAAAAATCCAATAAAAAAAAATCCCTTAATATTATATATATATATATATATATATATATATATATATATATATATATATATATATATGTGTGTTTATTTCAAAATCTGCATTCAGTCCCCTCGGTGTGAGTGTGTCCAAATTACTGCCTTGCTGAGGAGGTTATCCTTGCCCCCACCCCTCCAATGGATTTTAATATGGTCAATTGCAAAGAAGTCCAAACCACTGGGATCTCCTTTATGGTGTTCCATAAAATGTTTGGACACAATGATTATGGAATTTCCTTTGGATGTTGTATATATGTTCCCTGACCCGTGTCTTTAATGAACACAATGTTTTCCCTATATATTGTAGTCCACAGGGACAGGTCAACATATATACAACATCCACGGTATTGCATGTAGTAAAATGCTTAATCTCATACTCCTTTTTAGTATTAAAAGAAACAAATTTTAAAAAAATTATATTTTTCTTAGTTCCTGTGTTGAATCCCCTACAGTTCCCACAATAAAAAAAAAAACCTTTTGTTCCTTTAGGAAATTCTTTGGGCATTCTTTCCTTTCCTTATCAAGGAAGCTATTGGTTAAAATTTGTTTGAAGTTCCTAGCCCCCCTAAAATCAAGTCTAGGTTTAACTCCTCTAAATGGGTGTATTTCATCATTAATGCTTAAAACATACCACATTTTGTTGATAATTCTCCATAGGAATTGTTTCTTGTGCTTCTTTATTAGTTTTTTGTCTTTATTGTCACGACAGTGACCAAAGTCACAACAGTGACCCCTTCACACAGCGTGAAACCCACAGAAAGACGGTTACCGGACCTTAGAATGGCCGGACTAGCGTCTGAGAATAGTCAAAGAAATAGCCAGAGATCAAGGGAATACGGAAGACGGGCACACGATTATCCAAGCCAAGATACGGGAAACCAGAATACAGAATAGTCAGAGAGATAGCCAAGGGTCAAATACCAGGAAGGACAAATAGATAAGATAGCACCAGGGGACTTAAACAAGAACCACACTAGGGCATCTGACAAGTGTCACGATAGCCCTTTTATAGTGTGGGTTCTTTGGCTTTAATTTCGTAGCCACGCCCCCAAAAAGTCCGGGAGCGTGGCCACGTTTGAATTTTGGCGCCATTTTTACTCTGATGTCGGCGCGCATGCGCCGCGTCATAAATGTGGGCGTGTTCCGAGCGGCCGGCGTCAGAATAGCTGAGCCGCCCCCCGGAAGTCTCGGAGGAGGACCCGGCGCTGCGCGGGACCGGCGGGGAAAGGTAAGCGTTCGTTACATTTATACTCCAATATTTTTGACCTATTTTTCTCCTCTGTATGTGTCTGTCTGTGAATGAGTGAGTGTGTGTGTCTGTCTGTGAGTGTGTGTTGGCAGTGGTGTATCCTGGTTTTGTGCTGCCCTAGGCATCACAAAACTCAGGCACCCCCCTCCACCACCATGCCCGCCCCACCTTCTAAATACACATACACACTCACTGACAGACACATATACACTCAGTGTCAGACACACACATTCACTGACAGACACACATACACTAGCTAATAGACTTACATACTCACTGACAGACACACACATACACACACACTCACTAACAGACAACATACACACTCACTAACACACACACAGTCACTAACAGACACACACTCACTAACAGACACGCATACACTCTCACTCTCACTGACACACACATTGTAACACACTCACTAACAGACACACACACTAACAGACACACACAAAGTAACACATTCACTAACAGACACACACATAGTAAAACACTCACTAACAGACACACACACACACACTAACACATTCACTAACAGACACAGACACTAACACACTTTCTAACAGACACACACATAGTAACACTAACAGACACACATACACTAACAGACACACACATAGTAACACAATCCCTAACAGACACACACATTAACAGACACATACACACTCACTAACAGACACACACTAACAGACACACACATACTAACACTCTCTCTAATAGACACACACATAGTAACACACTCACTAACAGACACACACAATCACTAACAGACACACACACAAACACAGTCACATTTAAAAAATATTTTTTTAAATTCAATACCTCCAGCCTCCCTACCTTTAGGAATGCTGGGGTGGATTCTCGTTTTCCCTTGGGTCCAGTGGGGCTGCTGGGCAGCCGGCTGGTCACTGCATTTGCCAGGGCTATTGGGGGCGGCTTTTTTTGCCACCCCCAGAAAGTGCCGCCCAAGGCAAATGCCTTGTCAGCCTCGTGGTAAATACACCCCTGTGTGTTGCTCAGTGTTGCATTGGCTGCGACTGGACAGTGGAGTACCAGGAGGTGCATGGAGGCACGCAACGCCATGTGACATCGACGTGCTCCACTTTCACAGGGTTTCAAGAAGTAGCGAGAAGATCAGATTTGGCACAGGGTGGTAGAGGGGGGTGCTGTGTTTTAGTAGAGGGGGATGCTGTTTTTTTTTTTTATACTGTACTTTTTAAAATAAACCAAAGTTTCTATGAAAATTGAAGGTATTTTTTTCTTGCGGCACACATAAACTTAAACCTTGTTTATGTGGCCCGTGCCAGACTTTGAGTTTGATATGCTTGAAGTAAATTAACTTTGACAATCTTCTGCAGCAATGAGAATTGGAAATAATAATGCATAAGCAATGGCAATCTTGCTTAGTATAACAATGAAAATAGCGTTTAGTAGAAATAAATAAACAAGGTAACTCCTTAATTACCGTCCATTTGACTTCAATTATTCATTTCATTTGATAAGTGTTCAGATTGCCTCTATATCTAGGAGGTGGGGTCAGGTTTGTGAACATGTTGTTGTGATTGGAAGCCTCCAATACAACAGACACTGTCTGGGTTGGTATAGGTGCAGGGGTATCAGGAGAGAGGTGAGCTGTTCTAGCTAACAATGTCTGGAATGCCTGAGTAAATTGTCAGAATCTCAAAATTAAATTCGATTTGGTTAATGAACTCTCTGCAAGTGTTCGGATTACCTCTATATCTAGGAGGTGAGGTCAGGTTCGTGAACATGTTGTTGTAATTGGAAGCCTCCAATACATCAGACACTGTCTGGGTTGGCATAGGTGCCAGGAGAGAGGTGAGCTGTTCTAGCTAACAATGTCTGGAATGCAGGAGTAAATTGATCTATCCTGTAATCTAATTCCCGTTAAACTTTGCCTCACAAGAGGTTTGTCGAGATCCCATGCCTACAGGGTCAAGAGCCCTATTGAAATGGCACGGGTCGGTACCATAACTTACAGGAAATGTGGAAAACCACAAATAGAGGTACTAAATAGATGTATTACTGACAATGAACTTTTGTGGCTCAGGAACAGTGTTTGCCTTGAGTAAGCCAGAGGAAGATGCTCTTTGTCCCCGCGCTTATTTAAGGAAGGTGGAAGCAAAAAAAGAAACAACAACAGCTAGATTTAGGCAGGTTCAGTTACTTCACACTTCTGCACATACACATACATATACCATATATATATATATATATATATATATATAGATAGATAGATAGATAGATAGATAGATAGATAGATAGAGATAACACAAAGCTCTATAGGTATTTATGAGTTTGTCTGCCTCTTTATATATACTCAGTTATAATATGTAAATATTAGACATGTGCAATTCGTTTCATTCCGAATGTAAAGTACCGAATTGCCAAAGTGCCGAATTTCGGAAGTGCCAAAGTGCTTCGGATTTCTGAAAAGTGGCAAAACAAGAGAGGGAGGGAAAATTATGGGAATAATGATAGGAATCTAACCCTTCCCCAACCCTGTGTAAGTGGTTGTGGTGGTTAGGGGTAGGTTTAGGGTTAGTGGTAGGGGTTAGGGAATTACCAAAGTCCCGAATTTCGGAAGTGCCGAATCAAATCGAAGAGCCGAAGTCCCGAATTGCCTAAGTCACGAATTTTGGATGTGCCGAACCAAAGATCTTGATAAAAACCCTGAGGTCGAAATGTTGATCCTTAATGGCAACATTTAATACATTCACGTTTTTAGGGAAATCCACTGAGAGCTCTCATCTTTATGATCTGTTTATATATATATATATATATGTGTATATATATATATATACATATATATACATATATATAAAAACATAAGACACTATATGATATCTAATGTGCTGAGGAGATGCCTTGTGTGTGTGATGTGGTATGGTATGTGAGTTCTAGTATATGAATGCTGTATTTGTAGTGTAACTTAGGTTGAGTACTTATTGGGCAGGCATGTGTTGAGTGATGGAAATTACATCACTAAGATCTGGCATGCCCACTAAGGTGTGTCAGCATGACCATTGGTGTACAGTCCAACTGAAATACAGGAAGCAGGAAAAAAGCAAAGCGGGAAATGACACGAAATCAGAGGAGGAGCAGAAAATCTGATCGAAGTAAAGATTATAAAAGATACTTATTAAGCTCAGTTTTACACTATTTAGGGAAAAAGTGTTTAGTGACAGTAGGTTTACTGTTGGAAGGTAAACAAGGATATGCATTTTTTTTACCTATACAGTACCTTTAAGTCATTATGGACCAGCTTGAGATCCATATAAAGTAACACATATGGTGCTATATTGGTTGAACATTGAATTAATGCTTTTTATAATCAGTGATATAAAAGTTATCATATGGGGTTACAACTTGTTGACTGACATTTTGGAGTCAATGATTCTCCCTTATTGTGGCACAGTTGGAAATATATCAGTATTATTTATTTAATCTTATTGTGGACCAACAGCAGAAACATTAATATGTTAACCGTAGAATGTGATATAAAAAAAAGTTGAAAACTTAATACTAAAATATGTATCTATATTTTGTTGTAACATTTTGGATTTTCATTAGCAAACATACATGTATACATGTATACATACATACATGCATTTGTAAAACATACACACAATTTAGAAATTCTTACCTGAACATTTGGCCCCTGAGTCAGATGTAAATGAATGGCTGTGTGGCAGAATGGTGTATGGGCAACTCATTAGCTCACTTTCTTTACCACTGCACTGAAAATATGTCAGGCCACTGTAAGGGGGGCCTAGTCCATATTTCCCATTTGTAGATGCATCCACTGGTGCTCCGCAATTCAACTCTCTGCATACTACTTCTACATCAGCAATATCCCAATTTCCAGAGCAAATTGTGCCCCAAGCATTTCCATAATAAATTTCCACACGGCCTTCGCAAGGATCTGGCCCTACAAGACGGACTGTCATTTCTGTAAAATTAAAAAAAAAAAAACTGATTTATTGTGAAGATTTTTTGCTGAAAAATAAAGCTACACTACTATTGCATGTGAAAACATGATTTTAATTCACAAGATATGAAGTGAGATTAAATTAATTCTCAAAGTATCTCATCACCTTCACCTTTGGACAGGGGCAGATATAGAGCACTGCTTGATTTTGTGACAAATTCTAGAATATATACTCAAATACAGATACAAATATGCATAAAATTCACACACAGATTTAGGCATGCAGCTTCTGCTATGACACTGACACTGATATCCTTATTTTCACCTGACAAATCAATTGAATACCCCTTTTCCCCTGTATGTCTAACAGGCTTAAAAGGTGATTGTAATAACATTGCACTCTCTGTGATTGAATGTGATTTAAATAAGTCTTGTATATATCTTCTTTTTTCTTCTTGTTGGGTGGCTCGTCATATTGTATAGATCTACATCTATGCTATAATTCTTCTGTGTGTCAGTTACAAACATCAATACACATCAGACATTTTCTTCAGGTTTATTCTTACAGTTGTGTTAGGGGCAAAAAGACCGTATATGGAGTAAGAGATGAGTATAAGAGTAGTCAGATATAAGGGCAAATGAGTGGAGAGACTTAGGGGACAGCAATCACTGGGAGACCACTAAGGGTCCCATCTTGCAATACCTTATAACATGGAGAAGGAATACCGTGTACAAATTGATAATCTGTAATCTGCCATACATGTGATCCATACAATGACTAAGGTAATGTAGTAAATAAATAAGAGACTAAACCAATATATGCCTTGCAAAATTGAGGGGTTCAAACCGTAGCTGACTGGGGGAATGCCGTAGAACAAAATTAATATAAGCAATTCGACTAAACCAGGGTCATATAACATAGCAATGATTGATGATGAATATAGCAAGGGTCACTGTGATAAAACCAACATATATATGGGAGAAATAACTGTGAGTATAATACGTGGAGCAACAGAAGAGTAGCAATATGGGATAACCAGAAATTTTAAGTAACTAGGATCAGTATCAAGCAAAATATTTGATGAATAGAGTTTACATAGACAATAACAATTGGGCAGATAATTGCAGTAGAATTGTATTTAGGCTAACAAGTGTTTGGAAGCCAACCATCAGCTGAATATATCAGTAGTGAATTTCGCTGAGTGATCAAAACATAGTTGTAGAAACAGTTAACTAAACCATTGTTGGCGAGCCATAGTGGCTTCAATGAGTATAAGGAGAAGTGGCATGATGACATGTTAGCATAACAATTATGATAATATAACAATAAAACTGATAATCGTGGTATCGCAACTTGTTCTTTGTGAATTCACTTATAGATGTAACACTGCTAAAAACAGATAGTAGGACAGAAAGTCAATATATCCTCTTGGATATCTTGAACATACTGGAACACGTACTTAATATGGACTTATGTAACACATGCTTGAATGCATATTGAGGAATTGAGGACTTAGCGAGGGTCAGCGTAAATATAAAAGCCCCTTGGAAAAGTAAGTTTAACACCCCATGACTTAATACTTGTTACTATAAAGGAACTTACCTTTACCTCATAGTACCTGTGACGAAACCGACCTCGCCACTGGGCATTGGAGAAGACTGATTGCCAGCCTCCTGCCATGTGACTATGGCCCCTGGGATGTATTGCCCTTTAAAGACATGATTTGGGCATAATGGATTTGTGTTGTGCTGCTGCTAGCCCTTTTAAGAACCATCTGGGGACATACTGTGGAGTTACTGGGTGGCCACCGTTTCCTGTATCAGAAGCACATGGTGGGAACAATGGATGGCGGCCATTTTAACTCACAGACACTGTGTGGACTTTTCAACACGGTGCCATCTCGCCAGTATTTGTTGCACAGAGACATCGTGCGGTGGTTTTGGACTATACAGCAGGGGACACATTATACAGTGATTGTTTTTTATTTAGCCTGTATATGTTCTGCAGAATCTGCATTAAACTGTATTTTCCAAAGTACTGAACGGATCTGGGTGAATTTTGGATATGTGGTTTACCCAGATCCCCCAGTTCCAAGGATATTTTTATGGGGTTATTGCATGTTTTGGGGTCCCTGTGATGTGTTTTATGAAACTGTATTTCTCTGGCTGTGATAATTGGATTACCCATTGTGTTCAGTAATCATATCACAGCCAGAGGGGAGGATTTTGTGTGGGAGTGTCTGGGTGTATTGTATGGATTGATTGGCTGTTTTGTAACGCCCTGTGGGCTGTACTATGTTTGTGGATTGGGAATAAAAGAGACTGTATGTGACAGTACAGGGAGTTCCTGTTTTAACCCTCAAAGTGAAGTGTCGTCTCATTATTGGGGAAGGATTTATTGTATGCTGTTCCAGTTTGACTGCTAGGAGAGTAAACCTATTCGTATGGTTCCTATTCAACTGTCTACAGCATTCATATGCTTGAGAGAAGGTATACGCTTCTCTGGTTCGGTGATTGTGGTGTCTGCTGCAGTGCTTGGAGTCCTCAGGAAGCGCTAGGAGCATCCTTCAACGGAGGTACCCAGTCGGGGTGCTAGTCGATCCGTTACAGTACCTGACATATTACTGCTTTAAACTTATAATTGTATCGGCATCACAGATTAACATGTGTATATTCCAGCAGTTTATAAGTATATTCACATAGGTGTAAAACGTAAAACAAAAAAATAGGACTAAAAGAGTCCTAAGTGGAAGAGTAATGAGAGGAGAAAAGATGGGGGTCCCTACCTTTTAATAATCCTAAGGAAACACAAAACAGGACAGGTAGAGAGAAATGTGATAATAAACCATACAGAGTAGACCCTGGGAAACAGTTACTGACTAAAAGGTCTGCCCAACAATTGCCTAGTCTTAGGGTTCAAATGCCACATATTCTAAATCTGCGATAGACAGAGGTAATTTTGAAAAAAGGGGGGGGAATGTAGAGTAAATACCCAAAAGCTAAGCCCAGACAGTAGCTCCTGTAAGAAGTCTGCTGTCCCTAAAATTACCTCGGCACTGTGAGGAAGCACAAGTGCCTACCACAGCCTCAATCCCTGCCTGTCAAAAAATAACTAGAGTGAAATAAGATAAATTAATCCATCTGTGCTACCAAAAAGTGCAAAGCAAATAAATAAAAATAAAAGTAAACTCGACGCGCGTTTCGGCGTTTCAGCACGCCATCATCAGGAGAGTAATTTTTTAGGGCTTGTTAGCACTAATTCGTTGGTCGGCGTGGTGCACTCTGAATCAGAGCCAGTATTTCTTATTATTCACATAGGTGGGCTGGTATACACATGTGTGTTATATGCGATAACACTAATGGTATTGCTGATACAGTTTAAAAATACTTTGAAACATTTGTGGTGTCTCCACATATTTTTGCGCACCAGCACTTTTCTGTCTTGTAATTATTTGGTCACCTTATTACCAGGGTTCATTGTAGGTGCTGCATACTAAATTCTATCCATATTATTTTCTTTTGCGCCTATTTATCTGTTTTGTATATTTAATTAATGAGGATAAACACCAAGTCGAGAATTAGATAATGTACTATACCAAACTAGTGATAGCGTCTCATCACTAGTTAAGTGTCCAAGACCCGGACTACCCTGAAAATAGAAACATATACGACACAGTATTCCTATATTAGAAATGGCATAGTAGTAACATAAGTGCTAAGGTGAGCATTAGAAGCGTAATTGAGTAAAATCTTCCTATAGAAATCATGTTTATCTAAGTGAACATATAAGACGAATGATGAGTAAATGTAATGGATGGTGAAATTGAGGCCCCAAGTGAATGAGGGGGACCAATACGAGAAGGGCAATTCCTAGAGTCGGGAATATGTACATCATAAGAGACCAATGTCACATGACATTCAAGCATAAACCCGGGGTGAGGTAGTATAGAAATGAGGGTGTAAGTGATTTATGAACCTGACATTTGTTTATAGGATAGGCTTACACCAGAAGAGTGTTTCAGAGGCGTATTTGAAAACCTGGTAGCTAAATAATGAAAACAAAACAGCCAGTCGGAGGTATGATACATAATCGTGGGGACACCCGTGGACCCTATTCCTAATATAATACCGTCCAAGTGTAAGAGCAAAATTGCCCTGCAAACTGGTGGGTAGTCCCAGAGTTCCTATAGATGTAGATAAAAAACCTGTGATCTATGAAAATGACTGGACCAACGGTGTAGAGAGCATAGAAAATGCAATAAGATGTTAGTAAAATAGTGTAGAAATTAGATTACGGTGTTTCCAGAAACCAATATATATGTATGGGAAAGATAAATGCTAGACGGATCCCATTAGGAGATTGGTGCTTTGTCATGAGAAAAAGTATTTATGTAAATTGCCCTGTCAGTTATTGTTCGGTGGATCCTTGAGACTTGGCAACTGTAGGTTGTAGGGTACAATTATAGAAGATGACCGGCTAGTAGGAGGTTTTGCCAGCGGTAAATAATTATCCTGGTCAGCACGGTCAGTATTATTAACAGATGTTCCCACCTAATGAGAAAGCTTGAAGATAAAGAGAAATAACATTAACATTAATTTATTAAAAATATATATGTCAATTTGCTTTAGCTATGAAATGCAGGGATACTCAATGTAACAAAGTCATAAAGGGTTAAAACAGTCGCTGTGCAGAGTTTGCAGTTAATTGCAGTATGGTACTTTGCACCTGCTCGACAGTAATGATTACTGATATGGTGATTCTCCCAAGTCAAATGTGCACCTAACATGTTAGTTGCAAACCCTTTAATAACTACACCATTTAATCAACTGGAAATAATGTATATAAGTACATAGATACAATGACACCATATGGCAAAAGATGCGTATCATATCCGAAAATGCAGAAACCGTATTGAACATGTTAAGACAAGAGGAGATCACAATCTCTAAAATGCAATGTAACCATATACAGTAAATCTAACCATGCAGAAACCCTGCTTAAAGGATCAATATAGGGTCAGGAACACAAAAATGTATTCCTGACCCTATAGGGTTAAAACCACCATATAGCTCCCCTGCCCCCTCTTGCCTCCTCAAAAATAGCAAAATCTTCCTTGTTTTCAAGTTTGGAGCTGCTAGCTCTGGCTCCGTTTCCTTTGGACCTGCCCACAGCTTGCTGAGATCAGCAGAAGTGGTAGCCTGATCCAATCACAATGCTTCCCCATAGGATTGGCTGAGACTGACAAGGAGGCAGATCAGGGGCAGAGCCAGCATGATTCCAATGCAGCCCTGGCCAATCAGTATCTCCTCATAAAGATGAATTGAATCAATGAATCTCTATGAGGAAAGTTCAGTGTCTGCATGCAGAGGGAGGAGATACTGAATGTTTGGATGCATTTTAGGCAGCCATGACCCTGGATGGATCTCTAACAGCCATCTAAGGAGTGGCCAGTGAAGTTATCAGTAGGCTGTAATGTAAAATCTGCATTTTTTCTGAAAAGACAGTGTTTACAGCAAAAAGCCAGAAGGTAATGATTCTACTCAACAGAACAAATTCAATAAGTTGTAGTTGTTCTGGTGACTATAGTGTCCCTTTAATATGGAATTGCCTATTCCGAGAAAGACTGCTAGGGGTCAAGACTGTAGCTTGATTGCACTGTAAATCCTAACTTTAGTGCGACCATGTGCATGAAAGCCCTTTCTGTCATAGGCTTTTGTGTGGTATATCCAGGTGAAGGTAGCGTACAAACCGATTGATTTCCGTTCGGGAGTTTGATACGAAAGCTGCACCATACATGACATGCGAGATAAAAATAACACGAACCTTGTTCGGGAGATTCTAAACAAATTAAACAGCAAACCAGTGCACTGTAAGAGTTGCGCGAAATGAAAGTATAGAGATAGACCTGACCCGTGATAACGCTGTGGGACCGCGACCGTGGCGTGACGGGCAGGTCAGTAGTATTGCGCATGTGCTGATGTATGCACTAGACAATAACTGTGGTCATTTCAAGCGGCAACAGCATCACTATTAAATAATACATTTGCTGAGTGTGCCCCACAAACAAGGTTTTGGGCTAGCATTGCACCCTCCCCTCCCCCTTCCCACACACAGACACAGACGCTTTTTAATAAATATTCTGAAAAATACCTAAAGTGTAGAAGAGTTGGATATACCTAAAGTGTAGAAGAGTTGCATATATTTCATCTATGGTGAAATGTAACCCTTGACTGCCAGCGTTGTTTTGTATTTGTTTCCTATTGGAGTTCATGCAAATTGTGAGCATTTTGCCTAGCTTCAAGTCATATTATTACAGAAAATGTACACCTTACCCAAAGAAAATATATATTGTTTTTTTTTTAAAGAACAGATAGAACATTTTTCAATGAAATATAAATATATATACATGGTTATTTTGTATGATAAAAATGTAAACAAATTAATAGAATGAAACAAATAATAATAATAATAATAAAATAAATAATAATGGGTTGTTTTTTCAAATGCATTTTTTTTTATGGAGAGTGTCAGACAAATAGAAATGCAAGACATACATTGGATATCAATGAGTAAGTTTTATACAATGGAGAGAAGCAATCATGAACAGTAGAATATGTAAACCGACATTCCCTTTTCTGTTAAACCATAACAAAATTAAACTAAACATAATCATGTCTGCCAGTACCCAGTAACCCCAACCATGCCAAATTAAGAAATTCTCAATTATAGTTAAAACAGTCTAAACATTTTACATCCCAGTCCAAAGTTGGTCTTGATCTAAGATGTTATACGGTCACATGAACTTACAGCAAAAACAGTATTAACGAGATTGTTGATATCATATTGTTGAGTAAACAGCCTAGTGAAGTGTGGAAATAATATAGGGAAATCACCCCATGAAACCCAAAACATGATGTGAAGACTAAAATGGACCAGTGCTGATGAAATCAAGGTTAAGACTTGGTTATGAATGAAAAGAGTCCCCAACGGGGTCTTTCTGATAGCCAGTAGTACATATGAAAATGGCAAAATGTAAATAGAGCAATTCCCAGAAACCAAAACACTTATAACACTACGGCTGCCTAAGGCAATGCCATTGTTGAGCAGCGAAACGCTGGCTGCCAAACAACTATACAAATACAGTGCCGGAAACTCAGTTAGCTGGCTGCTGAAGTTTCTAATTCATTAAAAGATATACTTGCTCACAATAAAATTCTAAATCAAACCAGTCCCGCAAATTCTCTGGTAATAGCTAGCCGCACAAATAATAATGTTTTATTTTTTTCTTCAGGTTTGTTTAAAGGACAACTAAAGGCACCCAGATCACTTCATCTCAATGAATTAGTGGGTGCATTGATCCTTTAATTTTAACCCTGCAATCTAAAACATTGCCATTTAATAGGCACATCAATGTTTTTTGGAGGGTTAAACACAGCTCTTGTGGCTGTCTTAGTGCTAGAGGAAGTCTTGTACCTTGTCAGACTTTCTCCGTTATAAATTGATCTTGCATCCGTACATCGCAGCCCTCACCCTTGCTAAACAATCATACCTTTCCTCTCTCATTAGTTCATGCTCCTGCAATCCCAGGGATTTCTTTGATACCTTTAACTCTCTCATTTACCCTGCTGAAGTCACCTCCCAAACTAACCTTTTTGGCCGATAGTTTTGCGTGCGTGCTACTTTCCCTACAAGTTTGAACAGTTAAGAAAAAATTTCCACTTTGCTCCTTTCTCTTTCAACTGCACCTGGATTATACTTTCCCTACCCTTTAAGCATTTTACTTGGCTACTGAACAGGAGGTGGCTGCACTTCTCCTCTCCACTTGCCCACTTGATCTCACACCTTCTTACCTTATCAGATCTCTCTCTCCTTGTCTTGTACCATGCTTAACACACATCTTCAGCTGCTCTCTTTCTTCAGGCGTTGTCTATGTTCCCCTTAAACATGCTACTGTCGTGCCCATCCTAAAAAAGTAATCTTTTGACCCATCTTCCCCTTCCAACTATCATGCCATATCCTTGCAACGTATTTCCTTGAAGCTTCTAGAAAGACTTGACTTTACTCGTTTGCCTTGTTTCCTCAATTTCAACTCGCTCTTCGACCCTTATCAATCTGGCTTCTACCCCCTCCACTCTACTGAGACTGATCTGATTAAAGTTATAATTAACCTAATCACAGTTACGTCCAATGGTCACTGCTCCATACTAACTCTCCTTGACCTCTCTGCTACCCTTGACACTGTTGATCATGTCCTCCTTCTCCAAACCCTCCCCTAAACTTCAGTCATTTAAGTAGCCCCTTAAAACCTATCTATTTGCTTATGGCCTCCCTGATAACTTCTATGTCACAAATCTGTCTCTGGCTTTCTCCTCCACTGCCACCTCCATCTGTTACTTGTCCGCCCGGTTTGTTTTTTGTCTTTGTACTCCACTCCTTTAGACTGTAAAGTCCTCATCTAGCTATTATTCCTGTATAATTTTGTAATCGTCTCATTGTATTAAATTTCTCCCTTTTATAATATTGTAAATTGCTGCTTAATGAATAAGTTGGCGCTATATAAATACTAATACTTATAATAACACTATTGCTAAGGTTAGGATTAAGGTTAGGATTGTGCCAGGAGCACACATATTCTAAACTCCCTACTGGGATTGCCTCTAAAACAAGTTGTTGAGGAGCCAACTCGTAAAGAGGCCATACTTGATTTAGTGTTAACAAATGGAGATTTGGTATCAGATATTACTGTAGGTGAAAGTTTAGGATCAGTCAGTGTGGTTTAATATAAGAACAGTGACTGAGTCACACCACACAAAAACAAAAGTTTTAGACTTTAGAAAAACAGACTTTTCTAAAATTAGAATATGTGTAGAGGAGTCATTATCAGACTGGAGCAATTTAAATGGAGTCCAAGAGAAATGGGATTATGTAAAAGTTGCACTATTGAAGGAAACAGAAAATTGCATGAGGCTTGTCAGTAAAAGCAAAAAATTCAAGAAACAACTGTGGTACTCCGCAGATGTGGCCAAAATAGTTTTTAGCAATTATAAAAAAAAAAACAGAGTGAGGAAGACAAAATGATCTATAAGATGAGGCAGAAAGAGGCTAAGCAAGTTATTAGAGCTTCCAAATCACACACAGAAGAGAAAATAGCACAGTCAGTAAAAAAGGGGGACAAAACTTTTTTTAGATACATAAATGAGAAAAGAAAAGTAAAACAAGGATTAGTTAGATTAAAAACAAAAGAAGGAAGGTATGTAGAAGAGGATAAAGGTCTAGCTGACTGCCTCAATTAATATTTTTATTCAGTATTTACAGATAAAAATGAAGGAAAGGGACCTCAGTTAAGAAAAAGGATAAATTAGTCATTTATTACACGTGAGTTTACGTTCTATTTCAACTGTCAAAAGTAAAGACAAATAAGTCAATGGGACCTGATGGAATACACCCAAAGCTGTTAAAAGAGCTTGGTGGTGTACTAGCAAAACCATTAACAGATTTATTTAACCAATCATTCTTAACAGGAGTAGTCCCAGAAGATTGGAAGTTAGCAAATGTTGTGCCCATTTACAAGAAAGGTAATAGGGAGGAGTTGGGCAACTATAGGCCAGTAAGCCTTACTTCAGTAGTGGGGAAAGTGATGGAAACCATGTTAAAGGATAGGATTGTTGAACATCTAAAAACACATTGATTTCAAGATCAGAGGCAACATGGATATACTTCAGGGAGATCATGCCAAACTAATCTTATTGATTTTTTTGATCTGGTAACTAAAATTATAGATCAGGGTGGTGCAGTAGACATTGCTTACCTAGATTTCAGTAAGGCTTTTGACACTGTTTCACATAGAAGGCTTATCAATAAACTGCAATCTTTAAGTTTGGATTCCAATATTGTTGAATGGGTAAGGCAGTTGCTGAGTGACAGGCAACAGAGGGTTGTAGTTAATGGAATATATTCGAAGCTTGGACTTGTCACCAGTGGGGTACCTCAGGGATCTGTACTTGGACCCATTCTCTTTAATATTTTTATTAGTGATATTGCAGAAGGTCTTGATGGTAAGGTATGTCTTTTTGCTGATGATACTAAGATATGTAACAGGGTTGATGTTCCAGGAGGGATAAGCCAAATGGCAAATGATTTAGGTAAACTAGAAAAATGGTCAGAATTGTGGCAACTGACATTTAATGTGGATAAGTGCAAGATAATGCATCTTGGACGTAAAAACCCAAGGGCAGAGTACAGAATATTTGATAGAGTCCTAACCTCAACATATGAGGAAAGGGATTTAGGGGTGATTATTTCTGATGACTTAAAGGTAGGCAGACAATGTAATAGAGCAGCAGGAAATGCTAGCAGAATGCTTAGTTGTATAGGGAGAGGTATTAGCAGTAGAAAGAGGGAAGTGCTCATGCCATTGTACAGAACACTAGTGAGACCTCACTTGGAGTATTGTACACAGTACTGGAGACTGTATCTTCAGAAGGATATTGATACCTTAGAGAGGGTTCAGAGAAGGGCTACTAAACTGGTTCATGGATTGCGGGATAAAACTTACCAGGAAAGGTTAAAGGATCTTAACATGTATAGCTTGGAGGAAAGACGAGACAGGGGGGATATAATAGAAACATTTAAATACATAAAGGGAATCAACACAGTAAAGGAGGAGACTATATTTAAAAGAAGAAAAACTACCACTACAAGAGGACATAGTCTTAAATTAGAGGGACAAAGGTTTAAAAATAATATCAGGAAGTATTACTTTACTGAGAGGGTAGTGGATGCATGGAATAGCCTTCCAGATGAAGTGGTATAGGTTAACACAGTAAAGAAGTTTAAGCATGCGTGGGATAGGCATAAGGCTATCCTAACTATAAGGTAAGGCCAAGGACTAATGAAAGTATTTATAAAATTGGGCAGACTAGATGGGCCGAATGGTTCTTATCTGCCGTCAAATTCTATGTTTGGGTTAGGATTAGGATGTAAATTTTGAAAAAGTATACATCAGGGTATTGTACTCAGGATATGTTGCTGAGTACAGTTCAGGAATTTATATTACAATGCACACAAAAAAGCAGCAAAAATACAATGTGCATTTAAAAAATGTTAAATAAAAGTTAATACCACAAACTTAAAATTTATTTTTTTGTGAAGCCATGTATTTTGTGTAAGCCATGTATTTTGATAAAAACGTGATAGAGGTAGGTGAAGGGGGTCAATTTTAACATAGTAGCTGAGCACAACTTTTTTGTTTTACAGTAGTACACATCAACTTTACAAAATAAATTATTAAATAGCAAAAGTACAATTAACCCCTTAACCCCTTAAGGACACAGCTTCAGAAGCTTGACTTACGCTTAATGACACAAGCAATTTTTGCATTTTCTTGCTGTTTGCGTTCAACTGCAATTTGCATCTCTCTCATTTATTGCACCGACACATATTATATACTGTTTTTTAAAGGACAGAAAGGGCTTTAATTTGATATAACATATATATATATATAATGCTTACTTATTATAAAAAAAATACAGAAAAATGCAAAAAAAATGAAAAATATTGTTTTTTTTTACAGTTTTTGCAATAATAATGTGTGCATAATTAGTGCAGGTTAAGGAAAGTAATTAAAAATAAATTTATTTATTTGTTCTGATTTACAGAATATATAATGTGTCTGGGATTTTAAGTTTTTTTTGGTAGTTACAGGTCACAAAGCACAAGGAGTAAAATAAACTTTTAATGTGGAGCGATTTTAGAATTTGGTATGTTTGTCTTGTAAGCTTAATAGCCATAAAAGAAAACAAAATTGCCACACAAAAGTATATATTTATATAAAGTAGACATCACGGGCTATTTACCTAAGGTTGTTTTGACACTTTCTACGTAGCCATTTCACCGCCAACCTCTGCTAAATATTGGAGTAAAATTGTGTTCTTTTTGGTTTTTGGCACACAAACTTATAACAGAGAAATTCTCGTGTATATTTTGTAAAGTTGGTGTGTGCTATTCCTGTACAAAGTTTTATTTTGTGTTCAGTTACATCTGCTGAGTAAAATGACACCCCCATTGTATGTCATTTGCACTATTTCGTGAAGTTACAGTGCCATACAGGATACCTGTCCTTTTCAGTATTCACAGTAGAATTTTGAGAGATGGATTTAATGAGCCTTAGCTTCCATTTGGGGTATTATAACAGTTTGACTGTTCAAAAAACCCCCACAAAGGCCTACCATTTGTAAAAGTAGACACTCCAGGGTATCTCATAAGGTGCATATTGTGCCTTAACATACCCCCATTTTTTCACCAATATATGCCAAAGTATGTGGTAAAAAAATTATTTTGTGCATTTTTTACATACGGATTGCATTTTTGCTGGGCGTTTTGTATATTTCATATGTGCCACTAAGTTCAAACCTCCCAAATTATGCTCAGCTAAGTCTTTTGAGTAAAAATACACCCCCAATGAATGTCTTTGGCACTATTTTGTGAAGCTACAGTGCCATATAGGAGACCAAGCCATATCCGTTTTTACCAAACTTTGAATTTTGACGCTGGGCCTATGTGCAATTTCCAAGCATCTTCGCAGGTTTTAAATTCAAACTACCCCACAAAGGCCTACCATTTCTTAAAGTAGACACCCCAGGGTGTTTCAAAAGGTATAGTTTGAACCTTAGCGTGGGATCATTTTTCCGCTAGCTTGTACCAGATGTAGTGGTAATAAGCGTTTTTTCTGCCTTTTTGACATACAAAGTGAGTTTGCACAGTATATTTTGCAAACCTTATGTGTGCTACGACTGTATAATACTTCATATGTTGCTCAGCTATGTCGGCTGAGTACAGCAATACCCCCGTATGTACCTTTGCCAGGTATGTGTGGACATCGGAGGGGCACATTTGGGACACAGCCATTCCAGTTTTTTTCAAACTTTGAATTTTTATGCTGTGCCTATGTCCCATTTTAGAGTATTTTACCAGGCTATATAATCCAAATTCCCCATAAAGCCATACCATTTCTTAAAGAAGACATCCCAGGGTATTTCAAAAGGCATATTTTGAACCTTAGCGTGGGATCATTTTTCCGCTAGCTTGTACCAAGTGTAGTGGTAATAAGCATTTTTTCTGCCTTTTTGACATACAAAGTGAGTTTGCGCAGCATATTTTGCAAACCTTATGTGTGCTATGACTGTATAATACTTCATATGTTGCTCAGCTATGTCGGCTGAGTACAGCAATACCCCCGTATGTACCTTTGCCAGGTATATGTGGATGTTGAAGGGGCGCATTTGAGACGCAGCCATTCAGTTTTTTTCTAACTTTGAAGTTTTACGCTGTGTCCATGTTCCAATTTGGAGTAGTTTAGACGGTTGGTTATTGAAACTTCCCCACAAACACATACTATTTATTAAAGAATACACCCTGGGGTAATTCAAAAGGCATATTTTGAACCTTGGCGTGGGATAATTTTTTTCTCTAGTTTGTTCCAGGTGTAGTGGTAATGAGCGTTTTTAAAATGTATTTTTTTACTTTTTATAACTTTTTTACTTTTAAAAACTAGTTTTTAAACTTTTGTTTTGCTTATAAATTTTTTTAAACTTTCCTAAACTTTCTTAAAACTTTTTTACAGATTTAACATTTTTCTAAGCTTTTTTTTTTACCGTTAACCCCTAACTAGCAGTACGCAGCACTAACAGTAAATTCCCCATTTTCCCATAACTCCCACCCACCCCAGCTAGCAAAATATATAGTTATAAAATATTTAAATTAATTAATTAAATAAATTGAACCCCTGAGGGTTAAAAAAAATAAATAAAAGTTAATCCTCAGGGGTTAAAAAAAATTAGATCACAGTATAATACTGTGATCTCTATTTGATCGCTGTAGACAGTGATCGACTGGCAGGGAAGGGGTTAATTTTTATTTGGACTAGGTAAAGTGTGTTTTTTTTTGTTTTTTTTACTTAAATGTTATTAAAACATTTTTTTAAGCTTAATTTTTAACTTTTTAAAGTTTCTTTTAAAACTTTTTTTAACGTTAACCCCTAGTTAGCCTAACGCCAAATCCCCCAATTCCCCACTAACTTCCACCTACCCCAGCTAGCTAAATATATAATTAAAAAATAATAAAATTAATTAATTTAATTAATTTAACCCCTGAGGGTTAAAAAAAAAAAAGAATTAACCCTCAGGGGTTAAAAAAAAAAATCAGATCATAGTAAAATGTAATCCCTGCCAATTGATCACTGTACTCAGTGATCAATTGGCAGGGAAGGGGTTAATTTTTTATTAAAATGGGTGGGGGGGGGGACTTTAAATAAACTTTATTTTTTTAAACAGCAGGGGGCAGGATCAGCACTGTTCCGGCTCCCTGCACTTCACACAGAACCCGGAAGTGCAGGGAGGCGGAAGGTAAGTATACAGGGCACATGTGCTCGCTCTGACTTGTGGTCAGAGCGAGCACATGTGCTGGGCAGCCTGACCGGGTGCTCCCTGTATGCTTCTAATGCAGAGGGGCACCATTAACCCCGCGATCGCCGCGATAGCGGCGATCCGGGGTTAATTTTTCCGCATGACGGACGAGGTCCGTCACCCGTCATTAAGGGTCTCCCCTCTGTGACGGACCTCGTCCGTCACCCGTCCTGAAGGGGTTAAGGACGGAGCCAAATGTACACGTTGTGAACAAAACAAAATGTAAACAAAACCTGGCATTTGTGCTACATGTCTGTCCAACCGTAATACACCTCTTTCATAGTAAATGCACCCACCCTTATTATATATCATTTTATTCAGGGGAAACAGGGTTTTCATTTAATATCAAATATTTAGCTATGAAACATAATTTAATATGAAAAAAATGGGAGAAAATACGATGTCATAATACTGTTTGCTTTTACTGCAATAAAATACACATATTTGTATTCAGTAAAGTCTCACGTGTAAGACAGTACCCCCTATGTACAGGTTTTATGGCGTTTTGGGAAGTTACAGGGTCAAATATAGCAGGTTACATTTGAAATTGAAATTCACCAGATTGGTTACGTTGCCTTTGAGACTGTATAGTAGCCCGGGAATGAAATTTACACCCATAATGGCATACCATTTGCAATAGTAGACAACCCAAGGTATTGCAAATGGGGTATGTCCAGTCTTTTTTAGTAGCCATTTGGTCACAATCCTGATGAAAGTCTGTGATACAGACTGAAACGTTGATTTTTATTTTGAGCTAATAAAAGCTAAGTTTTATTCATTCAACTTGGAAGTCCCTGGAGTGCTATCTTGTACTTTTGGCTGTATGTGTATATATATGTATATATCTATATAATTTTTAAAAAATATTTTTATTTATATATAGGTATATATATAGTGATATATACGTATATATTTATGTATATAGATATATATATTATTTTGTTCTACGTGTATTTTGATATATATATATATATATATATATATATATATCACAATACAGTTAGAACGAAATAACACACATCTATATATTTTTAATTATTTATTTTTAATTATTTTTTAATTTTATTTTTTAACGTATTTACATTTTAATTTTTTTTATAATATATATAAATATATATATAACAATAATTATATATATATTTAATCAGTATCAGTCTACGTGTAATTTGATATTAATATATATATATATAATTATATATATATTAATAGTAAAATACACCTAGACGGTGTACATGTGTGTATGTATATGTGTATATATATACTTAGATCATATATATATAATATATATATATATGATCTAAGTATATATTATAATTTTTTTACACCATTTATTTGTTTTAATTTTATTTTCAGCCAGCAGGGGGACCACCTGTCATTACAGGCAGCCCCCCTGCTGGCAATACAGAAGCCAGCTATCCCTGGCCATGTGATTGTGGGGTCCTCGCAAGGACCCCACTCTCACATGGCCGGGGGGCTTCGTGGAGGGCGGAAGTGCCGCGGGGGGCTCCCTGGGAGTCCCCCCCACCGCGATCGCCGGCGTGGGACCACCGGCGACTGGGTAAGTACCGAAAGACCGGAGGGCGTACTATTAAGCCCGGCGGCGTTTAGAGCCGCCTATAATAGGGCGTAATAGTACACCCTCCGGTCTGAAGGGGTTACAAAAATATGACAGTAATACCGTATAATTTAAGAGAAATTTATAAAAAAATAAATAAATTTAAAAATGGCTGTGTTATGTTACATAGTTGCATAGCCTGAAAAGAGACATGTGTCCATCAAGTTCTACCTTCCTCACATCTGTTTTTGTTGATGCAAAAGAAGGCAAAAAACCCAGTTTGAAGCAGCTTCAATTTTGCAACAAACTAGGAAAATATTCCTTCTTGGTCCAAGAATGACAGTCAGATCTATCCCTGGATCAAGAAGCTATTACCTGATGGACTCTCCGAGACAGCCAGGGCCATCTTTAATATTGATTGGACCCTGGGCAAGCATCTGCTTGGGCCCCCTGGGCATGCAATCACTCCCTCCACCCCAACCTAGAGGCGAAACTAATGTAGAGAGTGCCTTGGTGCAAAAAAATAATAATTCAGGCCTGCCCTGTAGCACAAGAGTAAAGAAAAGATAGATCCCCATCTGTCATACAACTCCTGCGATGCTATGCCAGGTGGGGATCTACCATCCTTGCAGGGTTGTATTTTTGAGCAGTGTTTGTGCAACTGAATGTCAGCATGTTATTGTATAGAGTGTATGTGTGCATGTAGGGGTGTATTTGTATATACTGTTACCATTGGAATGCAGTGGTGTACTTGTGTGTAGTGTTTGCGTTTGAATGCAGTAATGTGTGATTGTCTGTAGTGTTGGCTTTTAAATGCAGGTGTACTTTTGTGTGTAGAGTTGGTGTTTGTATATAATTTTAGCGTTTTAATACAGGAATGTGTTTGTATGTAATGTTTGTATTTGCATGCAGGGGGTTGTTTGGATGTAGTGTTGTGTACATTTGTGTGTAGTATTGGTGTTTCAGCAAACTGGTGTGTTTGTATGTAATGTTTGTGTTTGCAGGGCTCTGTTTCATGTTGTGTGATTTCTATAACACATATACACATACACATTAACACGCAGATACACACATAGGCACACTGACACATGCTCACACCTTGACACATACTGGCACATACACACACACACTCAGATACCCACCCTTTGACACACAGATACAAGCACTTTGATACACACACACACTGGCACATCCACACACAGAGGTACACACACACACTGACACAGGTATGTACACACACACTCAGATACACACATACATAAAGGTATAAATGCAGGGGTGTATATGTGTACAGTGCTAGAGATGGAGTGTATTTGTGTTGGCATTAAAATGCTGGGATGTATGCATTACCACACACTCAGATGCACACTTACACACACTGACACATACATACATACACACTCACACAAACACATGCACAGGTACACATACACACTGACACACAAGTACACATACACAGGTATACATACACACAGAAACACTGACACACAGACAAACACAGCCAGATACAAACACTGACACAAACACAGCCAGATACACACACTGACACAAACACAGCCAGATACACACACACAAACACAGCCAGATACACACAAGGACATAAACACAGCCAGATACACACACATATATGTGTACATTTACATATTTTAATCTCTGCCTTCTAGCAGCTCTTGGACAGCAACTCCCAGCAACCTTGGCCATAATAATGTCTCAACTCTGTTCTTACATACCCTGGTCCAGAATTTGGCAAAAGTGACATTTGGAAATGGTATACACCCTTTGATAACACTTGATGCAATAATATGTTCAAATAAATACTTTAAAAAATTTATATTTAATAGGAAACTGTCAGGTTCTTCTAGGATTTTAACATGTACTTATTCCCTGTGTGTTACATTACAAACACCAACACTTGAATAAAAGTGATATCAGAAATAAGCAAAACAAAAAAACAAAACATATTTAGCCACCCTCCTGTCTCCTTACCTTTTGGGTACAGAAAGGTGGCTTCCCTGGTGTCCAGTGGGAGCTTGTTGGCCCAGGCTGATGGGAGTCTGCCATTAGCTTTCTCAGTCCCTCTCCCCCACAATGCTTGCATCCTCCTCCATGTGGTGTGTGCCTCCTCCCCAGCGGCACTGAGGAGGAAGTGATCAGTTCTTACTGGGAGGAAGCAATCTGACCTCACTTCCTCCCAGCATGCCACGGAGAAGAAAAGGGATCACAGGGCAGTGTGTGAGGGGCTAGCTGTGTGTTTGTAGTCAGCCACCCCCCATATTACAAGGGTCCGGTCCAGAGCAGTATTAAAGGGCTGTGGCCCCTGATTACCTCAGATGCTGCAGAGGGCCCATGGGGCAGCTGCCTTAGGGCCCCCAGGAGTAACTGGGCCCGGGGCAGCTGCCCCTTTTGCCCCTCCTTAAAGACGGCCCTGGAGACAGCTTTCCACTAACTCCAACTACATCGGAATAAAAACCCAAAATGGGACACCCCAAGAAATCTCTTGCCTCACAGCAAGCATCTGGGAAGCATCCCCCAGGCAAATCTGGAGCCCTGATTAAATTCTTTAGTGATAATGCGGACCATTAACAAGGCGCAACAGGCCTCAGCATGGCGCTCGTGTCATCTCAAGATGGCTCTGCACCCTCCAGCCCAGAGGGATCTGCAGGCTCGGTATATACCACAGACCTGGAGATCAGGGATGCTTTACGTAAACTACACTCCAAAAGTGACATCAAAAATATGCTGGGGAAGCTGGAAGTTTCATTCCAGACGAAACTCAAGGCCGTTGGCACGGACATGTGGGGGACAGAGTCACTTCCCAGGAGGACGACCGTGATATGCTCTTCACTCAGATGCAGCAGTTACAAGCTGACATTTCTTCCCATACTTTCCTCCTCTCCGGGATACAACGCACAATGGATGACATCGACAACCGCCGGAACAACTTGCGGATCAAAGGCCTCCCGGAAGCAGATCAGGAGAACCTCCACTCACAGTTAAGGGAGCTCTTCAATCTCCTCCTCCATAGGCCCCGGATGGCTCAGGTACTGTTTGACCATGCACACAGAGTACTGAAACCCAGGGGGACCCCTAATACCCTAATACACAGAGAGATGTCATCTGTAGGCTACATTGTTTTTCTGTTAAAGAGGATTTTATGAGAGCATTACACCAAACATCTTAGCCGTTATTTCACAGTGCTCCCCTACAAATTTATCCTGACCTCTCTTGGGCAACGCTCCAAGCCAGGAGAGTATTAAGACCCATTACCGACCATCTCCCCTCACGCAACGTTAGATATATACGTGGGGATTTTCTTTTGCCCTTATAGTGACTTACAACGGATCTTCCCATACCCTGTCCTCCTATCAAGATGGATTCACCAGAGCAATGGACGTACCTGACATCAGTATACCTGATTGGTATGGAGGAATACAGTCGGCCCAGACCACCCAAATGCCAAAGTGCCAGAGGTGGCAAACTCCCTCAAAATGGAGTAGAAATGACCACTGTGGGACCAACAGGGAGACAGGGAGGACCCCTTCCACCACGACGGCAGCTTCTGCTCACCCATCTGTGGACCGTCCCTCCTAGACAGGGTGATACAGAAGATTGGAATACCTCCTTAAAGAACTGTCACATTACACGCTGACCACCTTTCTAATACAACGGGACTCTCCTACATGGAATTAGCCTTGTTCCCACCACACCATCCCTCTAATACCGGACGATTTACATGTACAGTACCGAACATTCCAGCCCGACCGGTCTCTTTCTATCACAGCTAGCCGCTGGTGGGCAGGGGACTGCTTACTGCGGGACACTGCAATACCCACACGGACTGGGATCTCTTTTCCCTACAGATTGGAGAAGAGTAGACAGTACGGGCTAACTGGAGGAAGACAGAAACACACCACAGATGCATTTTGTGGCTGCCGCAGGAGATAGTAAGGTGCATGGAGCCAATTATGTTTTTTTTCCTGTCTAATGCCGTTCTAGTCTACACCTGCAAACTGTACCCACTTTGAAATTCTCCTCTTGGTCCTAAGATACCCCTTCCTCTGCTTAACCCCTCATTCCCCCCTTTGATACCCTGCTTTACTGCTCACATTACTGTGCATTGTATTTCTGATGTACGCACCAACTTTAGACAGGTATGGTGGAGGTGTGTGGGGTTTATTCTTTGCAGGAGGAGGTGTACGGGTTTTCTCCACAAATGTAGTCGTGCAGAAACAAGGGGCATCTCGGGCTCTCAACTGTTTTATGGCTATATTCGGAGCACAGCTGAATTTTAATTACAAGGCTCTCAGCCTATCTCACTCCTAGTATACACTGCCTTGATTACATAGCCGAGAGGGGAATTTGGTCCAAACCTTGAGAGCGAATTACAACACCTGGACGCTCATATGGGATGTGGAAAGCGCTATAGTGGTTTCTTATCTTGTGAGGCTCACCGGGATCTATAAAACAAACAAAATTAATAAAAATTCTCTCTTTTTATGGGCTAGTTACAGTTCAGGGTTTTCCATATATTTTCACGGATGGTGGAAAGTTGCAGCTCCTTTACTATCGAACTCCTTGACATCTTAACATCACCCCCACAACATACGCTATATTACTCTTTGTAACAGAACCTCTTCCAGTAACGCGGCCGGTTAGCTCCCGTTAGTTCCCTTCCTTCAACTGATCGGGAACTCTTTCATGGATGGGGGACTTAACTCTATGCGCTCCCAGGCAGAGACGACACTGGAAGCTCTTAGTCCTTACCAGGACTTTTCCCCGTTGCATCCCCTGCAAGCTGGAACAGCAGACATATGGGTTACCGTATTTTTCGCTCCATAAGACGCACCTCACCATAAGACGCACCTAGTTTTTAGAGGAGGAAACCCAGAAAAAAAAATATTCTGAACAAACTGTTCCATAGTGTTTCTTACCATGGGACAGTTTGTTCAGAATATTTTTTTTTCTCCCCTGTCCCATAATGATCTTTAACCCCCCTTTCCTCTGTCCCATAGTGATTGTTAACCCCTCCTACCCTGTCCCATAGTGATTGTTAACCCCTCCTACCCTGTCCCATAGTGTTCTTTAACCCCTCCTCCCCTTGTCCATTAGTGTTCTGATCCCATAGTGTCCCCCCCTCCCATTGTCCCATAGTGCACTTTCCCTCCCATAGTGTCCCCCCCTGCCCTTGTCCCATAGTGTCTCCCCCTCCCCTTGTCCCATAGTGTCCCCCCTCCCCTTGTCCCATAGTGTCCCCCCCTCCCCTTGTCCCATAGTGTCTCCCCTCCCTTTCTCCCATAGTGTCCCTCCCCTTGTCCCATAGTGTCTCCTCCCCTCCCCTTGTCCCATAGTCCCATGGTGTCTCCTCCCCTTGTCCCCTCCCCCTCCCCTTGTCCCATAGGTGTCTCCTCCCCTCCCCTTGTCCCATGGTGTCTCCCCCTCCCCTTGTCCCATAGTGTCTCCCCCTCCCCTTGTCCCATAGTGTCTCCCCCTCCCTTTCTCCCATAGTGTCTCCCCCTCCCCTTGTCCCATAGTGTCTCCTCCTCCCTTTCTCCCATAGTGTCTCCCCCTCCCTTTCTCCCATAGTGTCTCCCCCTTGTCCCATAGTGTCTCCCCCTCCCCTTGTCCCATAATTACTTACCTGTCTTGGAGCGTGGGCCGGCTTCACAGCGCGCTCCGCGGTCCAGGAACTTCTATTTCAGGTTCCGGTTTCCGGCGGGACTGAAAGGAAGTGTGCACCTGAAATAGAAGTTCCTGGACCGCGGAGCGCGCTGTGAAGCCGGCCCACGCTCCAAGACAGGTAAGTAATTCTTCACATTCGCTCCATAAGACGCACAGACATTTCCCCTCACTTTTGAGGGGGAAAAAAGTGCGTCTTATGGAGCGAAAAATACGGTAAATCTTCCTTCCCTCCAATAACAGGATGACACACAGTTTTGGAGGTTTAAGCACTGACTCTGCCAGACTCTCTCAATCTTTATTGAACACAGGCCTTTTTTATGAACAGACCCTCACAGGGGATCTCCATTCCACGCAATATACTTCCCTTAGTCCCAGGCAGGAGAGGGCTGGGTTACAGATAGCCATCTCCCGCCCTGGGAGATACCAAACAGTACATAGGGATACACATTAAACCAGGGGGGTTACACTTTGGGGCTCGGCACCCCTGGAAGGTAAGGGGTTACAGGGTTGAAACCTACATTGCTAGATAGCCCCAGGTACCATCTGGGATGTACAGAGCCCGCGATATCAGCATTAAAAGTCCGAAATTAGTTCCATGGCGTTGCTTGGTTTAGTCTGGCTGGCGAATTCAAACTGGTGCCTAAACCAAGCAACAACCAATCAGCTGAAAGGGCATGAACCAAATCACGCCAATCAGCGTTCAGGAGAGGAAGAAGTTTCGCCACCCAATCCAAAGAAAGGGCGCAAAACTCTGCTGCACCAATCGGTACTCGGGGAGGAGAGGGGTCTTGCCGCCCAATCGGGGGAAAGGGCTCAAAACCTGATTGCACCAATCGCCTGAAAGGTGCAAAACCAATTTGCGCCAATCAGCGCCCAGGAACAAGAGGGGTTTCACCGCCGAATCCAAAGAAAGGGCTTGAAACCCCATTTGAACAAGCACTCCTCCTCCAATTGGTCATCTGCACCCGGCAGCGACCAATCAGCGCTCAATCATGCTGACCAACCAGGAAAATGGCGCGAACCCAGTTTGAATGGACGCTCCTTCTCCTATTGGTCGGCACGGACTGCAGCCAGCGGGACTCTGCAGCCGCAAGACGGACTCACAGCTCCAGAGATTCCCTGGTGTGCATCCCTCTCTCCAGTGGATATCCACCAGCCATGAGCCTTGCCTTGTAGCTCCCAGGTAAGAGAAGTGAACATTCTAACCAAACATTCCAAATGGAGTATCAGTGTGGTCCGGCGCCAAAGTGCCCCCGCATGGCTGAAAAGTAAAATGCATCGTACCTTAAAAATGCAAGGGGAAACACACAAATAAAACAATTCCATACAGATACATGGAGAACCATAGAGTACAAGGGGAAATGGTGGGAATAGACACTGGGGACACAAAATACATAGGCAAACACAGTGGGCATGGTACTTAGTGGCAGTGTCCCGCCACACTCTTCATACCACGTATTTGCGGTGTCCTTAAAATCCCACAGAGTATTCCCCCGCGAACTGGGATAGACTCCGGCGGAAACTTATCCATTTGGATATATCGTAGTGACACCAAAAAAAAGGTTACACTACACCTATTTGTTTCTTACAATTAACTTCACTATCACCCTACTGTACATAGTTACTACTGTTTTGTTAGTTCAGAACCACCTGCAAGGACAGGTCTGAGCACCAACACTAGTTACCTGTCCGCTCATGGCCTCGATTAGCGTAATCACCCTTACCGCCGGGGGACTCATCAGCCCAGAAAAACGAACACTAGCACTTAAGGATATCCACAACAACTAAAAAGGCAGACATAGTCGTTGTCCTGAAGACCCACTTCAAGGGGGATGGGGCCCCAACCCTTAGAAATAGCAAATTCCCAATAGGATTGTAGCAGAACCCCTTTGGCTGTCCAAACTATTTCCTTTTTATGGTTGGCACTTAAGAGTTTTCCCTGTGCCTGGATTATAAAGGATCACCTACCACCATAGGTGGCTACACGTTGTTCGGTAGAAAGATATAACAGCTTACACGTGAACGGCTATATTCACCATACGAATTAAACTACCAAACAACCGGACCACCCTGATGTGAAGGGTGGCTGTAATTTACCTCCCTGATTGCTTGTTACATTCCCTTGAACGCACGAACACTCTGTTGTATTCCCTGGATAGCCGCCATTTCAGCAGCCGAACATTTCGGCGCCATCTTAAACCCGCAAACAGCGGTGTTTGGTCGTCGAGTATCTGGAACTCAAAACAGACACTCGACTAACCGAACACCGCTAAGACCTCCAGGGCTTCAGAAAGTACAGATGGAAACGCTTGAACGGCCCGTCGTTCGGTAGGATGAATCCCACGAACCAGGGGATTCATCCGGCTACAACCCTAACTGTGGATGGCATAGCCTTTTGGGACTTTTGAGGCACGAACAGAGACCGACCGCAGGGCCAGATCTCATGGAACTAATTTCGGCTACTTTACCCATGTGGTCGGTCAAATCTTTACCTTCTCATAACTCCCGAACCCCTGGTCTGATCTGGGTGATTTTTGGATATGTTCCTCACCCAGATCAGGGCTACCAAGGTGTATCCTCCATATTTGGGGTACATCTAAGAATTGGGGAAAAGTCTGTAATGTATAATTATGTCAACTGTTAATCTAAGGGGAGGAGATGTGTGGGAGGTAACGTCTATGGGATTGGTTACTGTAGTAATTATGGTGTGTCCCTCCCTTGCATGGGAGAATCTTATAAAAGCCATTAAAAGTCAGTTCTACTCCTGATACTGTGTGTCGTCCAGTGATTGGGGAAGGTGATGGGATACTGTTGGATTTTATTGCTGGTTGTGCTGGTTACACTCTTGGATTTACTACTTGTTCCTGCATCCTTTTCATATCCCAGCGGAGTTAGAGCTGTGGGAAATCAGCTCTCCGCTACAAGGATATTTTAATAACTTTCCAGAAGCAACGAAGAAGGGAGTGGCTATTCTCATTGCATCCCAGGTCCCATTCACATATAAAGGACACTACTCTGACAACTTGAATAATACTAGTCAAGGGTCAACTAGGCTATAATATGGTGACATTGGCAAACTTTACCTTCCCAATAAACACCAGGGTAGATCTTTCCAAAAATACCTTAGGATTATAGAGAATTTCACGGAGGGTTTACTAGTGTTAGGGGGTGATATGAATCTATCCTTAGATACACGCATGGACACCACTGCAGAGGGAAAAATGTACCAAACTTTTAGCACGCAGTAGATTTAACCACTTGCTCGACCACGCTCAACTATGTGATAGTGGACTACTTGTACTATTCTCCTTTCAATAAAACCTACTCAAGAATAGACATGATCTTTAGGTTCATCCACTTGATAGAGGACTGTCGATACGGACCTATTACATGGTCAGACCACACGCCCCTGTCTCTTGCCGTTCGAATCCCATCCCTCCCCCTCAAATCCTTTCAGTGGAAACTGAATGACCTTTCCCTAAACGAGCCTAGCTTGGTCTTGCAGGTATCAAATACACTACGATGTTATTTCAATGAAAACTCGAATACCGGCGTTCCAGATACCAGTGTCTAGGAGGCCCATAAACCATTGGTCAGAGGTCATTTGATTTGTAACAGATCGCCTGGCATCCTGACTGGGTACCTCCACTTGATGGATGCTCCTAGTACTTTCCAAGGGCTCCAAACACTCCACTAGACACCATAAACACCGCAGACCCCACGAACCGCCACAGCTTGGGGTCTCACTGTCATCCACCCACTCTGGACCCAAGACCAGGATCCAGCTTCTAGTAGGTAGACCTCTCTTGTAATCCAGAGAGTAGGAACAGGAACAGCTCTTACAAGAGCTAGTGTTTATACTCTTGAGAGTATAGTGATTACAGCAATCCCCAGAGTGTAGTTCTCCAATCGCCCAAACATGAGCCAAGACTTCATAGAGGTTAGAACAAGTCTGTTAAATGCAAGCCAACACTCACAATGTATACAATTCCTCAGGCCAGAGGCACACCCCCTGGACCTGATGGAACACAGGCACATAAAGGACACAAAACAAAACAATCAAACAATACAACAATGTCCGACACTCCCACTTACAGCACACAAGCCCTCCTCTCTGCCTGGGATATAATTAAAGCAGCTAATACAATAAGCTAATTATCCACAGGCAGAAAAACACACATTTTCCCCAAAGTCTAGAAAACACCCCAAAACATAACACATCCCCATAGATATCCCTATATAGCCCTGATCTGGGTGAACAACATATCCAAAAATCACCCAGATCAGAGCAGGGTTTCAAAAGTTTTATGGAAGTCTCTTTAGACTGACCGACACGCATCTCTTCCTACAAATTCACCGACATTAAAGCTCTGGCAACACATACGGGCCCTTCCTCGTGTTGTTCACCCAGATCAGGGCTATTAGGGGATTTGTTGTGTTTTAGGGTACTTATGATACTTTAATAAGGATCATAACAATGAAATCAAATATATCGCAATAAAGTGCAACAATATGCAATACTTTAGCAGTAGTGCAATACTTTATTGTTACACTTTATAGCCTTTTGCATATTAATCATCTTTTATATGTAGTTACTAATAAAAGGATTTGATAATTATTTTTTACCTGAGAGAACAGAAGTGAAAAACTGGAAGGAAATGCACTCGTAGAGGGGTTAACCCTGAAGAACTACAGAAGTAGTGAAAAGAAAAAGGAGAGGAAATGAGTGCCCTAGAAACTTAATATATAACCTTTAATAGTATAATTAAAACAATGTATAGATATCCACAGCTAAGTGGTGTTAATAATGATATATACAGAACTATAAAATAAGTACTATGTACATAAAGAAACAAAAAAGCCTAAGGAGTGGATTAATCTAATAGGTAAAAGTGCTATATCATAACAAATACCTATAAAACTGGCACCAATGTCAAGCTGTTGAAAACAAGAATCAAAATAGGGAGACTTAAACAGCTTCCACTAGATCTATAACTGGAAGTATGTGTGCTAGATAATCAAGCCTCAAGATTACTAAAGTAAATCTCAACCTAATAGTATAAGCGAGGAGGACCTGTTCAAAAGTTTTCAGTATCCTCCATATAATGTTCTATGCAAAATGTAATTTTGCACTAACACTATACAAACGAACATATGTACAAATGTATAGTGTAGACTGATGCCCCAATAATAGATGCACATAAACAGCAATTCACCAGTTTTCAGTGTAACATTCCTTGTGCAAAGTTATAATCAACTAAGCATCACACGATATACTGTATATAGATTGTGCAAAGGAAGGTATGACTGCACAGTCAGTTGTGTACACATACAGTGCCTCCTAGTGATAACAGAGGCACTGGTAATGTACACAGGTAGTGCAGAGAAGATTAATATTACTGCACAGAAAATAGAAGAAGCCTCAGTGTGTATACATAACGGCATGAAATGATGTGCCGGTATTTAAAGTACTGGGGGTAATGTCATGACCCCATACTCCAGCTTATCAATGATCAAATAGATCAGGGTGGGTAGGAGACGGCGAGACCCCAACCAAGCTGTGGCGTTTGTGGGGTCTGCAGTGCTTATGGTGTCTGGAGGAGTGCTCGGATTCCTTGGTGAGCACTAGGAGCATCCGTCGGCGGAGGTACCCAACCGGGATACATGAAGCTCCGTTACAGAAGACTTTAGGATTACCCAACTCACACACTACATCTCTTCAACCCGGCTCTTCTACAAGCATTCAGGGACTTGTGTGAAACACAAGCTCTCAAGACAATAAAAATTGTCCATATTTTACAAAATCCCAAAAGTGGATACAAAGGGTGGAAAACATAAGACTGATGGAAGAAATCAATATTTTGCTTGCTTGTTCATACTCACGCTACACTGACTGTTGGAACCCATGGCTCAGTTTTATGAATACATACCAGAAAGGTGAGGGAGGCCTATAAGCGACATATACTGCCCTTTTTCTTGCTACTCCCCTACTACACTACAATGCATGGAGCCAGACGAAGGGAAACTGCTCACTCTCATTCAAGGCCCTTGACCCAACAAAGGGATGACCTGGCACCCTGTATCTCCCATAGTGGACAGGGAAAGCTGCTCACGCCCTGGCAGGACATATCAGAGCATAGGTACATGTACCGAATGGACACACAGGCTGAAGTTTCACCAGAAAGGGCACATCTTTATGACCTTCGAGAGAAAACAGTGCATAGGAATACTTTTAATGGTTAAAGAAGATAAGGTTCATACCAATTAAGCCAGTGGTGGGAGTATAACCCCCACCCTCAAACCAGCTGGCAATGTTAAAACAATTACCCAACCCTGAGGACTCTCTTGTGCTCCCTGTAAACACCCTTGAGAGTATTAGAGACACTTATAACTGCTCTTGGTGTGTTAAAGCCAGTCCAGTCATGTCCAGCATGATAAAAGATACTACTGGATACTTGGAAAAGGAATAGTACAAGCTGCCCCACATAACAGAGTCTAACAGTGGTTTTTGAAACAATATGATTATGGTGAACCTTATATTAAAGCCTTATAAAAATGGGCACAGTCCAGGCTCACTGACCTTTCATCCCAACTCACAGATCTGATCCAAGAGAAAGGGGAGTCAGTTTGAATTTTTTTTTTCCCATTTACACCTCGGGTGGAAGAATCTTGGATATTCAGAATGGGACCCCCTGTCCACTAGACAGCTGGTTAACTGTTACATGGATAGCTTGCATCACCCACTCAGCGCAGCCCTTAAAATAGCTAGCAAAATGATAAAGCTCTCAGTGCTGGATCCACAGAGCCAGCACTAAAAGCAAAAACTGGAGTATAAAAAATATATATAAATAAATATAAATAATAAATAATCCTGTTACTTGTCTAAAAAGTCATCCCAATGCAAAACAGTGTAACTAGCCTAATAGGCTAAACCTCTCTGATCCGACAAAAGTGACTGTAATACTCATCAGACTTTTGACTTTAATATAATTGGTCTGGTCACAGTCTGTGACTATATGTGGTCAACCATAGACAAAAAATGAGTGTAAAAATAATATAAATAATATAAAGTCACACTTATAGATCCTAATTCCTAAAGAAAAATTGTATATCCACTTAATAAAGTTAGACTGCTAACATTGATACATGGGTGAGCTACACAGTGAAAACATTGTAGCTATCCTAGTTAGACATAAAGTGGCCAGTATATCTGGTTATACTAGATGAATGCTCAATATAAACGTGGACAAGAAGTTCTCCAAAATAGTAAAGTGTAGAGACTCAAATTAGTAAACTGATAGCTCAAGGAGTGGGCAATATAGAGACTAATAAATATAAACTCTAATGCTTAAATGTCTATGACCCCTCCAGAAACTACCAGATATAATTAGGAAGTAGGAATGACAGAGAGGTTAAGAGAAGTTATAGTGCAGAACCATACTTAGGATGTCTAGGAGCCCTCACCGTTCAAATCAGAGCCAGCAGCAATTTCAGCATACAGGTCCTGTATGCTGAAATTGCAATAAAATAAGACACATCAGGAGAAACTGCCGCTGCCCGCCTAGACAAAATCAGCAGCATCAGCAATTCAGCTCATAATCCTAGCCAGGATCAGATTCCTCAGAATACAAATCCTTCTGCTGCCCCATAGAACAGTGACAACCCAGTGTACCTGCACTCTATTGTTGTATCTAATGGCTCAGGTTCTACACCTATTGTAAATGTTACCTTGCCCGCTAACAGAAAAACACCCTTTCTTTTAGACACTGGGGCAGTCCAATCCCTTGTGCAGGAAAAATATGTTTTTCCTTATGAAAAATCAAATGATGTATTAACATGTGTGGGAGTCAATGGGACTCCGACTGACATTCCTTTGTCTTACCAAATGAAATTTATGCTTCATAACTCGACTGCCTTGGTCACTAAATTGCTTCTCAGTCCTACTGCTCCTGTAAATCTACTTGGCAGCAATATTGTATCCACCATAAATGCCAACTGTGGCAAAAATAACCTATCAACTGGGGTTTGGAGGGGCCTGTTTGCCAGCCTTTTGCCCCAGGATTATGGGCCCTGCAAAAAGACAGGCTAAAAAAAAATTACTTAAATGGGAAAATGTGCATCTTCTCCTCCCCCTTTTTCCTGTCCTATTGTTCTCCAGCAGGGCATTGTCCCAGGGACACTGCCAGACCAGTTCAAACTGGATGCTTTGTCCCTCCTTAATCTCCCATCTGCCCTTGCTATTGTTTAACCCCATGGCGATCCAACTGTATTCATGAGATCCCAGCCCTATGACAGAACCTACTCTTGACTTGACAACAGTCCCTGACTCCTTCTGGGCACAGGGAAAGACAGATACCGGATGACTTGCTGTCCCTCCTGTACAGGTTAAGTTGTTGCCGAATGCCACCCCACCTTGCCTCTCAGCCCACTCAATCCATCCAATAGTTATTGCAGGCTGGAATAATTGTACCTGCAGTACTCCTCTGTACCCTGTTAAAAAGAAACAGGAGAAAGGCAAGCCAGTGGTATATCGCATGGTGCATGATTTAAGAGCTGTTAATGCTGTAACTGAATTGATTGCGCCTAATGTTCCCAACCCTCATACATTGCTATCACAAATTCCACCTTCATCTGAGGGTTTTACTGTCATTGACCTGGCAAACGCATTCTTTTCTGTACCATTGCACCCAGACAGTCAATACCTTTTTGCATTCACACACAAGCACAAACATTACACATGGACGGTGCTGCCTCAGGTTGTTCAGAATTCGCCTGCCATGTAAAGCATGGCAATGGCCCAAATTCTAGGAGCTTGGCTAAGGGCACATGATGTTATGTTGTTACAATATGTTGATGATTTGCTTCTATGTTGCCCAGACCAGGAGTCATGTACAAAGCACACCCTGTCTTTACTAACTTGTTGCCCAGGTACCTCATGACTGTGCAGCCTTAATGGCTCAGGATGGTTTTTCGCATGTCACTGATTCACCGTTATCTAATCCAGACTTTGAGTATTTTGTAGATGGTTCTCGATTTGCTGATGAGAAAGGTAATTTCCATAATGGAGATGCTGTTGTCTCTGCACACTAGGTAATTAAAGCAGAACCACTCGCTCCTTAGTGCTCTGCATAGGAGGCCGAGCTAAAGGCTCTCACTGAAGTGTGTAAACTGGCCTCAGGTAAGAATGCTAATATCTATACTGACTCTCGGTACGCCTTTGGCATAGCCCATGACTTTGGACCTCTTTGGCAGGCCTGAGATTTTCTTACATCAGCACGAACCCGCATCAAGAACTCAGAAGCCGTGAGTGCCCTAATGGACGCTATCCTTTCACCCAAGCATGTGGAAATCATCAAGGTGGCAGCTCACGTGAAGATCAAAGATGAAGCATCCCGAGGTAATCACAGAGCTGATGTGCGGCTAAGCAGGCTGCCAAGCTACCATACCTTGCAGGTAAAACTCCTTTACAGACTATGACATTAGCCCAATCTGTTTCATATGACATACTGCAAAGCCTACAGAAGCAGGCAAGCACAAAAGAACAAGAACAATGGAAGAAGCTGGGAGCAGCATATCAGGACGCTGATAAGATGTGGAAGAAAGGTGAAAAGCTTTGTCTACCCAAGGTTTTATTATTATTATCTTCATGCATATCAAACAAGGGAACCAGTCTATCTCAGATTATGCCATAGAATTTCCTACTTTGGCATCTGAGGTAGACCGGACTAATAACAGATTAATCGTTGCTTTTAAAAAAGGATTATTCGAGAATATTCTTGACGAAATTGTGGCCAAAGACCTACCTAAGGGGTTAAATGACTTTTTTACTTATGTGATGCAGATCGATAATAAACTCAGGAGCAGGGAAATTGCTAGAAACAGAACTAGACGTTTGACTATGTCACTATCACCTCGTTTCTCCAAACTTCTTGTCTCTGGCCTTCCGACGCTGTCTGAACCCGAACCTATTCAGTTAGGAGTTACTGGACTGTCTGAGGCAGAGAAACAGTATAGGAGAAAAGAGGGTCTTTGCTTATATTGTGGCATAAAAGGACTCATGAGAGATGCTTGTCCTATACGTCCGGAAAACTTCCGCACCTTAAGGGGACAGGTGTAATGGTTAGGTCCTCAAGCAATTCCCGAAGCAGATTTCCACCTTTTGCAATGAAAATAACTTTTCATGCAAAACCCTGGTTGACTCAGATGCGACTGGTAAATTTATTGATTTATATTTTGTTAAGAAATACACTATACCAGTCAAGGAGTTGGAAATGTATGGCAATGAAACCAATCGGTCATAAGAAAAAGTGAGGCTGCATCAATCTATGCAGAATCATAAAGTAATACAAAATAAACAAAAACTTGCAATCAAACATGCCTTATATTCTATAAATTGTTACATGTAAAATGTGATATACCATATTAAAGCTGGAAACTGTCATGCCAAACTTACCTTTCCTCAATCTCTTCCTCTTCTCCCCCTCTCTCAGGATCTGTTCTTCTTTTCTTCCTGTCTTCTTTAGTTTTTCTTTAAAATCATAAGACAGAGTAGGGACTCTTTGCCTTATGGAGGTTTCCTCCGCTTGACCAGCTTTGACCAGCTGAGGAGCAAAGTGTGCTTAATTTCCGCTGGTCAGAGCAATTTTCCCATAATTCTTACCTTTCCTCTGTGATCTCGCGATGCTTCCTGTCATTTTAGACGAAACTGACGAATTGCGTTCTAACTGAATGAGAACAGTATGTTCGTTTCTTTTAGAACTCAATTCGGCACTTTGTTCGTATCAGAATTTCATTCGAATGAATGAAACTCCGATTCAATTCGTGCTGTGGCTGCATCTTGCAGCTGCTTAGTAGATAACTCCCTAATTCCCACGGTATCAGGGAGTTATCTACCAAAAGGCTGAAAGACCTAAATTGGTCTTTCAGACAACTTTACTGATAATAAGTAAAGATTACTTAGTATTAGTAAATGATCTGCCCCTACTCGCTATACCGCGAGTAGGGGCATGTCTAGTAAGCAGTGAGCAGCCAGTGGCCCCCATAGAGTGAGGAAGGACATGGGGGGCTTAGGAAGTGGTGGGGAGCACTGCTTATAAAGCCTTGCCCCGACCTGCAATTAGGCTAAGAACACTCTGATAGGCTGGTTTAAGCCAATCAGAGTAAAAGATTTATGGCCCCCACCCACCGCTCAAGGGTGGGGGCCAGGGGGGGGAGGACAGTAGGTCCCCCCATTGTAATTTATGGCCCCAACCCACCGCACAGGGGTGGGGACCGGGGGGAGGACAGTAGGTCCCCCCTCATTATCTTTATGGCCCTACTATCCAGCCCCCACCCCTGTGCGGTGGGTGGAGGCTGGGGGGAGGACAGTAGGTCCCCCCCCTTATTGTTATTTAAGGCCCCCACCCGCCGCGCAGTAGGATAGTAGGTTGTTTTTTTTTTTTTACAGTGAGCAGCCACAGGCATGCGGTATAGCGAGTAGAGGCATTTTGGAGATTTGAATCTCCCTTATGCTATTATGGGGGTCATATTGACCCCCATAGAGTGAGGAAGGACATGGGGGGCTTAGGAAGTGGTGGGGAGCACTGCTCCCTGCCGCTTATATCTTTACATATTACAAGGAGGGAGCTGCGCGCCGGTAGCTCCCTCCTTGTAATAAACTGCACGTACAAACGAACACTGATATTCAGTCTGACAATGCTATTCATTCATTCAGCTTTCTGACGAATTAATGAATGAATAGATGAAATTCCCGTTCGCATGCCCAGGTGTTTCACAGTCTGTCTAGTGTGGGCAGATGACGTGTCCCACAGGGACTTCCTCTACCCACACAAAGATGGTGGCACCCTGAATATAGATCGGGGCAGAAATAAAAATAAAAAAAATAGGTAATCTGGGGGTTTTAAGGGCATTTGGGGGTGACTACGGGGTCAGTTAGATGTAGTGGAGGCCGGAGGGGGCTTAAAAAAAAACAAAAAACGGGATTCGGCCATGACAGTGCCGCTTTAATGATATTTCACAATGCAGTATGAATTCTCAACGTGGAGATTTGTTTTGTTCTGAAACTTGGCCATCAATTTTTATTTTCAGAAAAAAAGTGATTCGACTAAACAAACTAATGTTATCCTCAAAACCAATCAATAATGAAGTATAATGTTACAATATCTTGACAAGGAAGAGAGAAAACTGTAGGATGAACAAGGGGAAATATCTGCAATAGGGAACACTTAAATAGTATAAAAAAAACTTGCAGCAAATCTACAAATATGAGAAACTAAATTTTAAAGCGCCATGGTAAAGACACACCATTCTCATATATTCTTTGTTTTTATTTCAGTGCATTTGCTTAGGGTCTCCCTAAGCTAGATTGGTAATCAAGATGGACCCCTGCACATGGGTCGTAGAGGGCTATCAGTTACACCTCACAGCCGAGGCTCATTGGGTTTGCTTTATCGCTCGTGCAGTGAGAGACAGCCAAAATTTCTGTACTGCATTTGTGGGTGTGACTAATTTTATATGTGACAGACTAAGGTTTTCACAAATAATTTTATACTGCAGCACTCCATATAGTAATCCAAACAGCTTTATTATTTAAAGGGACACTATAGTCACCCAGACCACTTCAGCTCAATGAAGTGGTCTGGGTGCCAGGTCCCTCAGGATTTAACCCTTCACATGTAAACATAACAGTTTTACAGAAACTGCTATGTTTACATTTGGGGTTAATCCAGCCTCTAGTGGCTGTCTTCCGGACAGCCACTAGAGGCGCATCTGCGACACTGGAGGCCAATTTTGCCTCTTTCGCGCAGAGTGTCCATAGGAAAGCATTGAGAAATGCTTTCCTATGGACACTTTGAATGCTCACTCGGCACTTGCCGCGCATGCGCATTCGGCTCCAGTGACGCCGGATGGGGGAGCTGACGTCGGACAGAGAGGAGAGGTCACCAGCCCCGAGGGAGCCTTGTGCTGGATTAAGGTAAGTGGCTGAAGAGGTTTTAACCCCTTCAGCGCCACGGGAGGGGGACCCTAAGGGTGGGGGCACTCTGGGGTCACTGTAGTGTCAGGAAACCACTTTGTTTTCCTGACACTATAGTGATCCTTTAAGGCAATCAATAATAAATCATGACAAAGTAATACATCTTACCCAAACAGTATATCCATATATTGTACACAACCAGCATCTGGATCAAAATAATAATCAATAATACCATAAATAGAGCAAAATTAAAACCAAAAGACAAACTGCAGCTAAATATAAATGTTGTTGGTCAAATAATACTATAATACCTCAAGTAGGTGACAGAGGGGCAGGAAATACCAACATTTTGATGCACAGCCTTTGTTAAGGGATTCATCTCCAAGAGCCTCTAGTTTGCTTTAAAATGCCCCAAAAACATGCCCTTGTAGGTGGAAAGAGGGCATACCCAAGAGTACAAGCCAATGTCTATAAGTTTTCTGCATCTGATTGTCATGACAACCAGCGTAGGACAGACATGTCTGAAAGGGATACATAAACCACCGTATACCCACAAGTTGCAATAATCCCCCAGGAGGGTGAGTACCCAGAACAGCGCGGAGAGCTCTAAAATTGAAAAACAAGGGCTCAATCACATAGAAAAGAACCCGAATTCTATATATAAGTATCTGGTCAACACAAATTTAATGCATGAATATCTGATTTAGTTCCCATTATAAATTTATTCAGTTGCGGGTCCAAGTTTAAAGGGTGAAGATCCAATACATTTAATTTTTTATAAACATTTTCTGCAAATTGCCTCTGCTAGGGCCTAATTTACATGTTTTATACAATGAAAGGAAATCACTGATAGATCGTCCCCATCACATGTTTTAAAGTGGATCTAAATAGAATCTAAATCAGGCATTCAGGCATTAAATTTGAGTTGAAAAACAGACAACAAAATGGTGTGGTATATCATGTATGTGTAAAAAAACACCAAAATAATATTACTAATAAGCTTACATCCACAATTATGGATCTTCAAAACAAATACAGGTATCCAATGATCCAGGTGTGAAGTGAATCTTCTCAAACTTTAATCACTGAAAAACATACAAATTTAACATCGTGTAAAATCACACATAACAATAAAAACATTAATGATAATATTGTACTCACAAAAATAAATCTACTAAAAGTGCAAAAGGGCAAGTAGAAAGATAAAATAGACATCTGGCTGTTCAATGTCCCCAGTGGAATGTCCAGTGGTCTTCCCTCGTCTTTGTGTTGGTTAAAGATCCATTACAGTGGGGGAAGGCTCCTTACTCCTGTACACTGGAAGATGTCCAAACTGGAATGAATCAGGCCTCCAAATTGCTCCACAGTGTGACCGGTTTTGTCATTAGGACTTTATCAAGAAAGAGCTTGTATGTATTGTCAGTAGCTCTGGCTTATAAACCCAACCAAAAATGTAAAGTATACTCCCACATGTGTTTCATATATACTACTCTTCCAGGCGGTCCACCTTGGGTGGACCTACTATTCAACCAATCTCCAGTATTAATCCCAGAGTGTTACCAAATATTTTTAATTTATATAGCCACATAGTTTCAAGTTGACACACATTTTTTTTTAACCAAATTCCCTTTTTGTATATCATTCCTAACAAGATCTATCCCTATACATAAAAAAAAAAAAAAAATTAGGAACAAAGAGGGCACAATTGTTGCAGTGCCTCGGAACACTATGCTTAATGTCCTTATTTGCTATGGCTAGTCAATGTTCTAAAATGCATATTTTGTTACTCCCTACATATTGTGCCCCACACAAGGCAAGGAGTAAATAAATTAACTTTTTTTTGTAGAGAAATTTATGAAATGTTAAATATCAAAAGTTTTTCCTGTTCTAGTACTACTTCTTTAGTTGACCTTGGTAAGTGTTTGCACATTTTACAATGGCCACATTTCTAAAAGCCTGTGGGTTTTGGAAAATACCCAGGGTCTTTCAATTGGGGGTAAAAGACTCAAAATAGGATTTAAATTTTTTTGCTTTTTATAATTAACCATAGGTTTTTTAGGTGAGATTTATTTCAATACTTAATCCTGCAATAAAATTGGCCAGCACTTATTAATTACTTTTTCAATCCATGTAGACTTACGATTAAACTGTGTTTTCGAAATCTAAATTAAAAATCCCACATAGCATTCCTTATAGGTCTATTTATCCTCTACCCTGGATTCATCCTCTGTTCACTTACAAGATTCCTAGTATTGTTCAACAAACCTCTGGGATAATGTTTGTCAATGAATTAAATTTGAGTTGACCAGATATTTATATATAGAATTTAGATTAACTAGAATATTGGTGAATTTCTAACCATAATTTTATTAAAGACATGGAGGCTCATATTATGCATAACTCTCTTTATTCCCTCAGCAGCAAAGATAGAGGAATATAAATATTATCAAAATGAAAGAAAAAAACTGTATAGGCACACAGGCAACCAATCACATAACAGAGGAAGTGACTATAAAAGGTATGTGTCTCCCACAATCCCCCTCTTTCTTTGCTGCTCCCTCAGACCAGCTAAGTATATTTTTGCTCCTCATGTGATTTATATATTCCTTGCTATTTCTGTATCTTGGTCATTTGCATTGAGTTTATTAATTGTACACTGCTCTTTATTTTATATATTCCTGTTGTGTTTCACTTGGTGTGCCTATTGGGGATCCCCTTTGGGCCTGCGGTTCTCCCCTTGCCTCCCTGTGGCGTCTGCACCCTTTTCTGGGTGGTACGCGGACCACGGGTGCTTCTTTTTCCGCGGCTCGCTACCGACCGCGGCCCATCCTCACTCTCGCGGGGCCCGCACAGGCGCTGTGTACGTGCCCCTTCCCCCGCCTGTTCTCTGACAGCGAGCAGGCTCTGCCCGGCTCCCATGTGCGGCGACCATTTTCTGGGTGGAGGTTGCTCGCGGCTGGTCTCTCTGCTCTCTGTGGCTCTTGATCAGATCACTGCTCGGTTTGCAGACCGCTAGTATCCCTGGGCACACCTATGGTCAGGTTGTTTGTGGTTTAATAATTGCTGCTGTGGGTTACTCAACCCTGCTGTTTCCTTTTCCACTAGTGTTCAGATATTTCTTTGGCTTTAGTATGCAAGATAAGGATGAGGGGCCTGAGGGCCTTGCAGAGGCCTACACCCAGGATGACCCTGAAGGTACTGTAGCCTCCCAAGAATTTCAAGCCTTATTGGATGCCACTATGGCCTCATCCTTGCAGAAGGCTTTTGCATCTGCCATGGGAACGGTGTCCACATCGTTCACCCAGTCCTTTCAAGCCATGTTGTTACCCTCTCTGGCGGCCCTTGCCCCCCTGGGTGCCCGGACCCCCCACCTGCCCCTGCCTTGCCTGGTGCCCGTAAGGCGCTGGCAAAGGCTAAGCACATCGACTCCCACTCCTCAATGCAGGTTCTACCTGCCATGATGGACAAGCCTGAGGCGGTCACAGATAGCACGCCTCCTACGCGCAAAAGAGCCCCTGGCCGAGCTAAAAAGGCTAGACTATGGAAACGGGCTAGGGCCCATGAGGTAGGGTCGGAACCGACCGGAGTGCGGAGGCTGACTCGGACGTGCTAGAATATGCCTCTTACGATGAGGTTGAGTCAGGTGAGGATTTACCCCATACGGGTGTTACCCCTTCTGGGACCTCTACCACTACATGAGGTCTTCTACCTGGCAGGTGCGGCACTGTTTGATCCGCAGGGCAACCCCCTGTTCGACCCAAATGACCTGCGTCACCCCCGGTCAGCCGAGTGGGAACCCCCAGGGCATATTGCCCAATAGGTTGCACAACACATGCGCACCCCCCTTTCTAAGGAGGGCCGCAATAAATTATGCACTGAATGCCTCAGGCTTTCCCTGCCAGGCTCGGCCTGCAAGACCCCTGAGATTGATTCCCAGATCGCGCAATTTTTAAACAAGTCGGGCTGGAAACCTAAAAAGGGCCTGGATTATTCCCTAAAGGGTTGCCAGGATAAAGTTTTGGATACCCTGGGCCCTTTGTCGAAGCTATATGAGCTTCTGGATGCCGCTAGAGCTGGCGACTCAGTCCTGGATGTCGATGTGGCCATAGGATGGGTCCAGCGGGCTGTTTGTCTTCTGGGGAATGCGACTACCGCTATGTCAGCAGAAAGACGTAAAGCGATTTTGCTGAAAATCAACCCCAAACTGGCTGCCATGACGGTGGCGGAACCGAGTTTATCCAACGATGGGATGTTATTTGGTGATACCTTCGTGAAGGACCTGGGGTCCTACGTTAAAACCTTTATGGTCATTGATAAAGCCCAGGCCAATATGAAGCGCATGTTTGCACCTAAGGTTTTCGGAGGGGCCGGGCGTAGTAGGAACCATCCACCCGGCCGTGGATTCCGGGGCTCATTCCGAGCCAACAGAGGTTCCTTTTTCCCCTCCCGGGGCTTCCAGGATCTGAGAGCTCCTCCCTTCTTCCCAGCTAGAGGGAGGTCATGGGGTTCCAGATACCCCCGTGGTGCCACTTCGGACAGACGTCCTTATGGTGAGTACCCATTCTTCCCTTCTCGCTCAAGTACGGGTGGCGGGAAGGTTGGCCTTAATCTGCCAAGGGTGGGCAGCTGTGACCTCGGATGCTTGGGTGTTACAGTCAGTACAGGGTTATCACCTCGAGTTTGTATCTCTGCCTGTCCAATTGTCTGTCCCCAGAGAACTGTCCCTTCCCTCAGAACAGGAGGAGATGATTTCTGCGGAAATCAGGGAGATGTTGTCAAAAGGCACAACGGAGGAGTTGCCGCTTACTGCCCCAGGCTTTATGAGCAACCTTTTCCTGGTACCAAAGAAAGGGGGTGGTGTCCGACCCCTCAACGCGTTCCCCTGGTACCAGCATTTTCAGATGGAGGGCATACATTGCCTCAGAGACCTCCTCCGTGCGTTGGATTGGATGGCCAAGCTAGATCTGAAGGACGCATATTTCACGGTCCCCATCGCGATGGAACACAGAGACTACCTCCACTTCACCTGGCATGGGAGACGGTGGCGTTTTACATGTCTACCATTCGGTCTATCCTCAGCTCCTTGGTGCTTCACCAAGATCATGAGACCGGTGTTGATATTCCTCCATACGCGTGATCAACTGGGACAAGTCAATCCTGACCCCGGCTCAGTCGGTAGAGTTCTTGGGGTTCAAAGTGGATTCCGTCCAACAATTCCTGTTTCTACCCTTCGGGTATCAGACTTGTCAGTCAGGCAATTGGCGAGGATTATCGGGCTCCTTGCGGCCTCCATTCAGGCGATCTTTCCAGGACCATTGAACTACCGGGCCTCCAGCGACTCAAAGGTTCGCACCTCCATTCAGGTCATTCATGCGACTACAGGATACAGCTGGACAACGAATCCAGAGACGAGCTGGTGTGGTGGTTGGCCCACATGGAAGCTTGGAACGGGCTAGCAATATTTGGATCCATACCAGACGTGGTGATCGAATCCGACGCCAGTTTAAACAGTTGGGGGACACGTTGTGGCAACATTTCCACAGGCGGCAGATGGTCCGAGCTAGACTGCTATCAACTGCCTAGAACTCTTGGCGGGTGCCTTCGCAATTCGCAGCCTTACTCCGGGCCGAGCAGATTGCTGCGTTCTCCTCAAGATGGACAATTTGTCGGCGGTACGTTATATAAACCACCTGGGGGGAACCAAATCCAAGATGTTGGCTCTTTTAGCTTAAGATTTCTGACAGTTTTGTCTATACAACAATGTCTCCGTGATAGCGGAACACATCCCAGGTCTGGACAATTCGAGTGCGGATTGGAACTCCAGACATTTACGAGACTCTGGAGATTGGCACTTACACGGTTCATGACTTGTTCGCATTCCGCCTGAACACTCAGTTACCGGACTTTTACAGTTGGAGGCCAGACCCAGATGCAGTGGCGACAGACAGGACGCCTGTATGCCTTTCCCCCATTCAACATGATTGCTTGCACGATCGCGAAACTGGTCCATCACGATTGTTCTCTGACATTGATCGCCCCTCTGTGGAGGTCTCAACCGTGGTTCCCGCGACTGCTGGAGTTAGATAGATAGATTATCCACGGTTGATCCCGAGTTTCCAAGAACTCGTTCTGGATCCAGATGGGAACTCGCACGGACTGGTGTTACGAGGCCAGCTGCCTCTGATGGCGTGGCACCTTTCCGGGGACCTTGGGATGTCCCAAACGTTTCGCAATTGACTCTCCTACTCCTCGATAACGCATGGGCTCCAGGTACAAGAGCAGCCTACCGATCTTCATGGAGTTCGTGGTCTAGTTGGTGCATGGGACGGTCAGTGGATCCTGTATCGGCACCTCTCCATTTGATCTTAGAGTTCTTCACTCTCATGTTCGATTCGGGCAAAGCTTATGACACTATCAACCTTTTCCGTTCAGCTATTTCGGCAGGCCATAAGGGTGTGGATTGGGTAACCCATCAGCACACATCCTTTTGTATGTCGCCTTCTCAAGGGTATTTGCCTCGCTCGCCCACCTAGGCCTCGTTTCTCTGCCTTCTGGGACGTAAACGTGATGTTGCAGTTTTTATCGTCATGGTACCCTAACCAAGGACTGACACTTAAAGGGACATTATAGTCACCTGAACAACTTTAGCTTAATGAAGCAGTTTTGGTGTATAGAACATGCCCCTGCAGCCTCACTGCTCAATCCTCTGCCATTTATGAGTTAAATCCATTTGTTTATGAACCCTAGTCACACCTGCATGTGACTTGCACAGCCTTCCATAAACACTTCCTGTAAAGAGAGCCCTATTTAGGCTTTCTTTATTGCAAGTTCTGTTTAATTAAGATTTTCTTATCCCCTGCTATGTTAATAGCTTGCTAGACCCTGCAAGAGCCTCCTGTATGTGATTAAAGTTTAATTTAGAGATTGAGATACAATTATTTAAGGTAAATTACATCTGTTTGAAAGTGAAACCAGTTTTTTTTTCATGCAGGCTCTGTCAATCATAGCCAGGGGAGGTGTGGCTAGGGCTGCATAAACAGAAACAAAGTGATTTAACTCCTAAATGACAGTGAATTGAGCAGTGAAATTGTAGGGGAATGATCTATACTCTAAAACTGCTTTATTTAGCTAAAGTAATTTAGGTGACTATAGTGTCCCTTTAAACAGTTATCCTCTAAGTTAGTGATGCTACTCTGCTTGATTTCGTGTAAAAGAGTGTCTGACGTCAGGGCCCTTGACAGCATCCAAGTCATTTGTGTACCCTAGATTCTCAGGGAGTCCAGCACTCTGTCCTGTGGATTGTCTGAAGGCTTGTCTGGATGCTATGCGATCTCTTCGTTCGTTGGATTTGCATCCGTTATTCGTTTCATTTAGGTCTCCTTACCGACCTGTATCGACCCCGACTCTTGCACGTTGGGTGCGCTGGCTTCTATCTTTAGCTGGAATTGACACTTCTATCTTCACCCTTCATTCAGTACGTGGTGCTATGGCTTTGAAGGCTTCTGCAGTCGGCTGTAGTCTAGAGGGCATTATGCGAGCGGCAGATTGGTCTCGGGAATCAACCTTCCGTAACTTCTATTTCAGACCAATTGAGCACATCACATCTCAAGTAATAGCGCAGCTTTAAACTCGCATAATACGAGCCTCCGTGTCTTTAATAAAATTCCCAGATTTTACTATTAACATGACGTAAAGTCATGATTTTATTAAAGACACGGAGGCGAGTATTATTCCCACCCACCCTCCCGGTGTTGGGTTACTGGATGAGATGCTGTTGGACTTTTCAGGTATGTTGCAATCTGGTCTGTTTACTGCGTAATGCGTATGGAATTATACTTACTCATTGATGTTTTGGTTGTATACGATTCTATATTAATCATATATTCTGTATTACAGGTTTCAATTCCTGAGTGGCAATCGACATAATTGTTTCGTAAGTCTTCAGTTTGAAGTTCGGTTATTACCATATTTCTCTTTCTCTTTTAGTTTGAAGTTATCGATTTGTTCCTGTTTCCTGTTCTTGCTAAGTGGGATGTCGTTCATGTTTTCTGGTCTTCGGTTTTCGCAAGAAAGAGGGGGATTGTGGGAGACACAGACCTTTTATAGTCACTTCCTCTGTTATATGATTGGTTGCCTGTGTGCCTATACAGTGTTTTCTTTCATTTTGATAATAGTTATATTCCTCTATCTTTGCTGCTGAGGGAATAAAGAAAGAGTTATGCATAATACTCGCCTCTGTGTCTCTAATAAAATCATGACTTTACGTCATGTTAATAGTAAAATCTGTGAATTTTTGTTATATAGTTAAACTTATCTAGACCAGAGTTAATTTAAATTGAAAACTCTCACACATAGCTGGGCAAAAAAAGATTCAGCCGATCTCAAGAAATGTCCACCTCTGTTTTCCATTCAAGGCTCTTAAGTTTGAGCCAGCTATCTGAATGGCTCAGCATTATGTGAGTGGGACCATTTGTATGTCTTATGTTTTCCTTGCACATATTATATTACCCTATGGGTTTTTTTTTCTTTCTAGGTTTATACCTTTGTACAGTCAATGGTAAAATTGTATATTTGTGTGCTCTCACCAATTTTTATGTCTGTTTAAATTCAGGATATAAAGACATCACAAACTCGACATCATCATTGTGCATATATATCAAAATAGTGATACATTCCTGGAAAAGTAATATGCAATCATATCACACCATAATATTAGGAAAGTGGTTACAATAAGATTAAGCAAAGTATCAGTATGTGCTCAGAAAACAGATTATTGAAGGATAATGTATTAACAGCTATTAATGATGATAGTTTGCTATTTATTCCATCCATAACTTGTATTGTAACAGCTGTTACGTCTTTGTTTGAATGCTCCCCTGTCTGGCTTGCATTCAGGACATTTTACGTAATTTCTTTGTTATATTATTATTATTATGTTTGCATAATAAAATCTACATCGTGTTATTTTCAAATCTAAAATAATATGTCAATTTAGTGGATGTTTAGTTAATGTTCTCTTTAGGCCATGGTACTAGTAGTATCTTCGGGTGGATTTTCCATCATAACGGAAGAAACTTTGATATTTGTAAGCACAGCTTGAGTAGATTATAGTAACAGAGTAACAGAGTAAAGTTAGTTAACTTTAAACTTTGTACATCTCAGTTGAAAACTACACACTTGCTAATGCAGATAGTTAACAACATAAATGTATCAAGCAACAATTAAGTTTGTATTGTCTCACAGCAATTATAAAGTGTTAAACAATTATTAGTTATTAAATTAATTATTTTACCTATATAATTTAAAGGAGCACTATAGTGCCAGGAAAACAAACTCGGGAGCCTGGCGCTGGAGAAAGCCACTTACCTTTCTCCAGCACCGTGCTCCCTCTGCGCTGGGGAACTCTCCTCCCTCTGCCGACGTCAGCTCCGAATGCGCATGCGTAATAAGAGCCGCGTACGCAGTCAAACCGCCCATAGGAAAGCATTACTCAATGCTTTCCTATGGGCGTCCAGCATCTTCTCACTGTGATTTTCACAGTGAGAATCGCTGAAGAGCCTCTAGTGGCTATTAGTGAGACAGCCACTAGAGGCTAGATCAGGGGTTCTCAACCCAGTCCTCAGGACCCCCTACCAGTCCAGGATTTGGGGATTACCTGGGTGTGTCTCAGGTGTTTAGAAAAAAGGAAAAAAACACCTTAGACTTAGACTGTTTTTATTTTCTAAACACCTTAGACACACCCAGGTAATCCCTAAACCCTGGACTGGTAGGGGGTCTTGAGGACTAACATTGAGAACCCCTGGGCTAAATTAACCCTCATGTTTTCAGCTATGTTTTCAGCTTCAGAATTAAAACTAGAGGGACCTGGCACCCAGATCACCTTATTGAGCTGAAGTGGTCTGGGTGCCTATAGTGGTCCTTTAACATTGGGACATGTGTTCATGTATTAAAAATTATGAAATTGATGAGGCAAAATCCAGTGTTTATCAATAGACAATCAGGGGCAGCAGTTTTTGCTGCTCAGCATGCATAGTAATATTGTGCTTATGGATTTAAATTAAAAAATGCATAATTACATTATCTGTCTTTGAAGGGGTACACGTTAATGTTTGCAGAGTAACAACTAAAATAATATGTTTTGAGATTAATGTTAAATTGGGAATTCCAGATTTTATGGTTATGTCATGGGGAATTTACCCAAACTTGCAGGAAATGGGAAACCCAAGAAGGATGGATAATATTAGGCATATTACCAGGCCTTTGAGTTGCCAGACTTGATGTATTAAACAGATAGAGGACAATATTAGATGTGTTACTATGCCTTAGAGTTGCTGGTCTTAACATATTAAATAGATAGAGACAAAGTCAGAAACTAGCCAAGGTCAGGATTAAAGATAGATTGGAATACAATAAACAAGCCAAGTAAAGATTCCAGAGGTACTCAAATTTCCAATAACTAGCCGAGGTAAAAACTAGAAATACAAACAGACTTAAGGAGCACACTAATCGGGTACCAAGGTAGAAACCATGATAGGGTACTGAATAAGTACCTAAACAGGAGATATATTATATATATGTAAATTTATATTCTGATTGGTTCACATCACCCCTGGGACTCCAGAAAGTACAAGAACGAGGTGGCCTAGGTGACATGGACACTCTGAATCAGAAGTGACATTCCGCAAACGTTAGACATATAAGGATGCACCATTTGCATGGGGCAACCAAGGCTACCTGTTAACTTGTCCTAGTGTCATGAGCCAGTAATGGGCTTTCCTGTGTGGACTAATCATGACATTAAATATAAAATGTTAGGTGACATACTTTTTTTATTTTTTCATAACTTATATAAGTGTTCAATGTATTAATCTTTTTATGTGATTATACACTAGAAAAAAGCCATCAGGTAGGGTAGTCTGCAGGGTCAAAGGGTTTCACACAGGTAAAACGTTTCTCAATTAATACATAATTAATAATCAATAAATGCATAGCAAATATTACTCTTAGGACATTTATTCTCAAGACAAAAATAAGATCTCAATGCATAGAATGCATAAATAAAAAGCATAAATGTTTCTATACTTTGCTATGGGGCTAAGAGAATAACATTTCTTTCCAACATGTCTCCTAGAACAGCTTTACCATAACAAATCATGCATTGTATTGTAAGATTCATTGTTGCACCTTACCAACATTAAGAAATAATGGAGTCAAGAAAAGGTAAAATATCACAAGGGAGGTCATAATGGCTTCTTATATGGATAAAGTTCTTCAAGAAATTGTGACAGCCGTCGATGTATCTGAAATACCAGAAGAGAGTAATTGTTATAAATAAAGTACATGGTTTGTTAATAAATAAAATATTCCTCTCACAATTTACAAAATGAAAACAAAGTCTCGTACGTGCAAATGTATCTTGATATCACACATTATTTTCTTTTGGTATCATTTTTGTTGTTACAGTATACAGCTTGCAGTAAGTAAATCATTTGAAACACTTATTCAAGAATATTAAAATGAAGTCATTGATTTCTAAAAACAAAGTATAAAAAAATATATACCATCTACCACTTAAGCACGATAGTTCAGACAAAGAGTAGAACGTTTACTGACAGACACACATTTTACCTCTTTTAATCATTCCCTTCCTAAATTTGCATAAGCTCCTGATTTACATGTCTGTTCATTATTATGTTTTGTTTATAATTTAACTCAACCAAACAAACCATTTACTAGCAGATTACAATTTAATAAAATGCAAATATTTATATCTTATTTAGTCTATCTATTGATTTTGTTCAGTGATGTACGTAATGACTTTACACAAAACAGCATAATACCTTTACCTAGGCAGATATTTCCTATTGTAAATTTAAAAAGACCAAATAATCTAATTTAGTATTATTTTTGTCATTATTACACAACATCCTATGTGTATCTTTTTCTGTGTGGTATATATTCATATAATAATAAATAAAGGTATTTGGCTTGATGTTTTTATCAAGTACACAGCATATTTTTATAATTCCAATTGTTTATCCACATTATACAAAAATCAAATATGAAAGCTAATTTTGCCTGTTCAATTACTTTTTCACACCTTATGCTGAGCTCACTACACACTTAACATCAATCTGTTTGCAATTAGGTAAATCCAGCCAATAGAACCACTGTCTCCCACAGGCCTTTCTGCACATACAATACAGTACATTGTGTCCTTCTGTCTGGCCTTCTCAACCCAAGACACACCACAACAAACCTGGATGTCCTTGTTTCCGCCAAAATAGGGGGATCAATGACTCTGCTCAATTGATGAGTGTAGGAAGTATTAATTTTATGCTTGAGAGGAAATTGGTGGTCATAACCTTCACTGTTAGATACTTTTCTGTGCTTAAATAGCAGAGAGGGAGATGAGACCCACCCACAATAAGGTGTCTCTTGGCCTATAAAACTGAAAGGCCACTCTGGTTGAGTAGACGTCTACGTGCCCTATGTGGGCGGACGCTATGTCCATTTGCAAACCGAAACCTACTGTTCCCCACACTGCTCCAAGGAAAACCAGCATGGGTGCCTCAGGGTTCTGACAGCCTGAGGAAATCCTGGGGCAATGTGGGTGACATGGCATACATGCCACCTAACATGTCTTCTGGAGGGAAGGTGAGCTGAAGGACACAAAAGGCACGTCTCCCTTCCTCTGCAACCCACGTGGAGCAGCTGCAGGGAGCGGCAGGCACGGAGAGTGCTGCGTGCTCTACAATCCTGGCATGCCACGGATCTGTCTGGAAGCCAGGAGGGGAGTCCAGAGCGTCCCTCACTCCCGCTATAATCATGTGGCACCCAGTGAGTGAGCGGAGCATACCAGCTCCTTCCTGCGCACTGTGACAATCTCCCCTCTAAGGTTCAGTCTCAAGGTGTGCGCAAGGGTGGATTTGGAAGGGTGTAACTTTTGGGAAGTTCCCACCAATGCAGGGTCTTGTACTTTGGCAGTGGGTATACCCAAGCATTTTTCTGGTCTGTAGGGAACAGATGCATCAGGGAACAAATCATTTGGGCAATCACGGATATATTTAGGAAGTTCCTCTATTGTTTCTTTATTAAACAAATCTTTACATGTTTCAAAACTTTTTGGTAGGATGACTAGAACAGCTTTACCATAACAAATCATGCATTGTTTTGTAAGATAGCACATTGATTTCAGGAATGGCATTAGGGGTACTTAAGGAGTCTCTACTTTCCTTCAGCAATGGTCAGTTTAAAAGTACACAGTAGCAGATTCCCATTTGATTACAGGGTTATGTAGGCAAACCCAGGGTAATCCCAGGATCACAGGAGACAAAGGAGAAAGGAGCAAATTCAAAGCAGTATGTCCTTTTCCAAATAAAACTTATAGTGGGATAGTCTCTTTTACCACAGTACCAGACTTTGAAAGGCTGCCATAAGTCATTTGAATATGCAGAGGTTTAAGCTGATTACGCATGGGTATAGACAAAACAATATCAAGTAAACACCTGCTAGCACCAGAGTTCACCATAGCAGATAATACAATCCTCTGATCTCCTCATTGTAGGAGAAGGGGCAGAATCAAGTGCCGGGTTTGGGTACAGAAGAGCTTATAGAAGGATGTGGTTTATGTAGCGGATGGCCCTGTGCTGTCCTGAACAATTCATGTATTTCTATGCATTCGTGTGAAAATGGCAAAGTCTATGTATTTGATGTATTGGATTCGTCTGAATGTTAGGTAGTTTCATTCCCTTAGTTTATTTGAATGAAACTACCGAACAGTCAGACCTCCCATGTGTGAAGTGTGTTCTCAATTAACCGTTGCAACATTGTTGCGAACGGGTAATTGGCAAGTGAAGTAGCCGTCCTTTGTTCTCGGGGGTGGCCCTCATTCGAAAAACGAACACGTGGCGGCGGCCATTTTAAAACTCCCGAACAGCTGTGTTTTGCCGTCGAGTGTCTGGAACTCAAATCGAACACTCGACTAGGCGAACACGGCTGAAACCTCCACAAGCCCGGTCCGTTCGGTTCCTAACTACCGAACGGCCCCTCGGTCGGTAGATAGAAAGAACCGAACGAGGGGATTCAGGCGAACCCTCCCTAGCCTCTATAGCTAGATGCTTTCGTGCAGTTTGTTCCCTTCCTCCAGGACCGACCGCAGGGCCCATTCGCATGGAACCGCATTCGGCTGTCTCAGTCAGTGCGGTCGGTCATTTTATTCCCTCCATAGATTTCCCGAACCCCTGGTCTGATCTGGGTGATTTTTGATATGTTGTTCACCCAGATCAGGGCTATCAGGGGGTGTAGGATTTAAAGGGGTACCCCTACGTTTAGGGATACATCCAGAAACGGGGGGAATTACTGTACTGGATAAGGGGATTATGATGCTGGCTGAGGGGAGGAGATGTGTGGGAGGTTACCAGGACAGGATTGGCTACTATACTAATGATTGTAAATCCCTCCCTTGCATGGGAGCATGCTTTAAAAGGACAGTGTGGATTAAAGATTTCAGTTCTGCTCCTGAAACTGTGTGTCGTCCAGTTATTGGGATTGCTGTTGGGATATTGCTGTTATTTTACCTGCTGGAAACCTTGCCTGTGGATTTACTATTTACTTGTTCCTGAGCCTCACTTGGATTATAAACGGAGATAACCTGGGGAATATTGCATCTCCGCTACAGTTTACTTGTCAGGTTGCTGGGTTTTTTTAGGACAGTTCTTCACTATATGATTTGGTTTGCCACAATAGTGGCACAGACGTTTGGATTTTTGTTTATGGACGTCTGCGGCAGGGAGGTCACATTTAACAAGTCTCAATTGCATTGGTTCATCTGTGCAAATAAAATTGGTAGATTATGGTGTGCCAACAGTGGGTGGAGTGTGATAATAACCCTTGGTGGAAGCATGTTCCAACCTCTGTTCCTCAAAGCATCTATCAATTTGAATAGACAGCTGTGTGAGTTCCTCCAAAGTATCATGTATCCCAACTACAGGGGCCGGCAGGCAGGGATAGTGCAGTGCTACCTGCAACCCTAGTGTTCTGCGGGTCCAGCTGTTAGCTGGGAGGGGAGTCCAGTGTGGCAGGAGGAGAGTCCTGTGCGATCTTGACAAGGGATTATTAATAATGGCTAGATGACAGGGTCAAAACATCTCCAAAATAGAAAGTCTTATGGGGTTTGCAGTGGTTAGTACATAGAACAGTGGTGCAAGGAAGTACAACCAATGAACAGGGGTTAGGGTCATGGGTTCCCAAGGCTCACTAATGCATGTGGGGAATGAAGGCAAGCTCACCTGGTCCGATCACACAGAAGAGCTACTGTAACTCAAGATGCTGACAAATGTAATGTTGGCCATGATAGAGAGGTGTCAGAACACACAGTGCATTGCAGTTTGCTGCCTAGCTGCAGACTGGTCAGAGTGCCCATGGTGCCTCCAATGGGGACATGAGCATCAGAACTGGACGATGGAGCAATGGAAGAAGGTTGCCTGGTCTAATCATGCTGGCTCCATTTTTCTGGGCCTGTCCCCATCTTGACATCCCTTTTCCATAGGTTCTTCCTCTGTCTCCCTTTCTCCCTCCACTTAATTTTTCTCCTTTTTATTCACCACCTTCCAATTTTCCCTTTCTTCTTTCTTTTGCCCTTTTCTCGCAGTCTGTTACCCCAGCCGTCTCTGCCATCTAACGATGTCCCTGCCCCTCTGTGCTTTTCTGCAATGTCCAAGGTTTAAATTCTCCTTAGAGGCCAGGCCACATTGAGTGAAGAGGAATTGTCTTGGGCCACATATAAATATATAATATAAAATATAATTAATTCATAAAATTAAACTTCAAAAGCCCCTTTCTTAATTTTAATACTTCATTTGTTATCCTAATGTGGGCTTGCCATATTTAAGGATACCAAATTAGGGAGCTATCTACTAAACACATACACATGTATAAAGATATACACATAACCACAGATATTAACATATACACACAATCACAGATGAACACATGCACATATAACAGACCATTACACACATACAAACACAGAAGTAAAACAAGAGATTAAAAATAAGAAAAGGGCATTTAAAGCATTTAAATCAGACAAATCAGAGGCATCCTATTTAAGATATAAGGAAGCCAATAACGCTTGCAAAAAGGCAATTAAAGTGGCTAAACTAGAAAATGAGAAATTTATAGCTAAAGAATGCAAAACCAACCCCAAAAGTTCTTTCAAGTACATCAATTCTAAAAAAACAAAAAATTAAAGTGTAGGTACACTGGAAACAGAGTTGGGTTTATTAGCTAATGAAGACCAGGAAAAAGCAGAAATTTTAAATAACTATTTTTCTTCAGTATATATTAATGAGGATCCTATGGCAAGAGATATTCAAATGATTGCTGCAAAAAACTTGCAAATAACTTGTGATTGGATACAGCTATTAAAGAAAATTAATGTAAATAAAGCTCCGGGGCCTGACGGTATTCACCCATGAGTACTTAAGGAGCTAAGTGGGGAAATAAGTGAACCTCTGTATTTAATTTTTCAAGATTCTTTTGTTTCAGGTGTTGTACCGGAGGATTGGAGGAAGGCAGATGTTGTTCCTATATTTAA